GATCGCGTATTCATTTACACGAATTAAATCAGTTTGGTCCTGCATTTCGTCGCTCCATCTTAGCAGTGGACGTGCTTCCGGGGGGTGCGTTCCCTCCTTGGGCTGCGACTCCGTCATTCGTCTTGATCCGCGGCCATCATCCCCTTCCAGCAACGCGCACTGCCCAAGCCGATACTCACTGAACCACGGCGACGCTTTTGGGAAGGAAGCATTCATCTAGCAGTGGATCGATCACTGCTTAGGTCAATGATACACTCGTGTCTGCGTGCGCGGGGACTCAGCGGCACAAGCAGCACCCCGCGTGAGTTGACACAACCTGTACTCTCACCTTCACCCTTAACCCTTCCTCGAGCCTGGTCGGGTCTTGTTGTTTTTTACAAACCCGTTATCGGAGTCATGCCAAAAGATGAATAACCCATTCAGAAAGCTCGCAGAGCAGTGCATCGTCGTCGTTTGTGTTAGGGAATGGGCCGCAAATGTGGGTGTCACAGAGCTACCCCCGAGAACTCTTTAAGTGACCTCTGGTCCACCCAGTTAAGGGGCAGCAGTTTCCCACCGTCACCCTAAATCGAATTCCTAATACCTGACCTTGACCCCACCACGAACCCTACGTAGCCCTCGACCCTATCCATGAGTCTAAACTAAACACGCGGCCTACACCAGCGATGGCCAAGAAGTGTACCGCAAAAGACGTTGTTGTAGAACTCACGACGAAATCGGAATAAACACGAACATAAGCATACAGTACAACAATATTCGTTACAGCGGATGGCAAATCCTACACACCCGTGAACGAAGAATTCCAACATCGCAAACACAATAACGCGTACCAATAGATGGCGCGATAACTGTACGTGTCTACTCTAAAGTGGTACTGGAGAGTCCTTGAGGGTCATAGCGCTCTGGTGGATCATCGCGGAGCCCGTTGAGATCCACGGGAATGGAGCGCAGAGCGCGGTGTGCGTGGTCCACCGCTGCTGCAGTACCTCGTCTCCTGAACCTCCCCCACCCCCGCCTCCAAACACTCCCAGCCCACCACCACCCTTGCTACCTGGCTCTGTAGTCGAACCGTCACTATGGCTGGCAAAAGGCGGCGAAGGTCTCCCACGCGCGTTCGTCGCGATTGAACCGCACACAGAGACCGCCACGTTTACGCAAAAGGATGCGAATACTCGTCTGACGCACGACGAGTTCATCATCACCGACGTGTTCATCATCACCGATGTGTTTATCATCACCGACGTGTTCATCATCAATGGCGTGTTCATCATCACCGACATGTTCATCATCACCGACGTGTTCATCATCACTCGCGCTCAACCTAACACTGTAGCCGCGGGTAACGCGCCCTGGGGAGAAGCGACCTGGAAAGCTGTTAACAGAATCCTCATGGGTCACACCAATATTCAACTGTTGATGCGACGGAAGAGCGTAGAAACCAGTGCAGAGTTTGCTAGCTTGCTTGTTTGCTTCATCAAACGCTGCTTGATAATGGCAGTGTTGGTCTGGAGATCCAATAGACCAATAGATGGAGAGATGGAGGTAATATCGATTTGGTTACACATATGTGGAGACAGAGAACGGAGGAGTTCCGCTGATACGTTTCTCGATGCGGAATCGTTCACGGCAACGCGCTGGTGGTGAGCCTGCTTAGTTACTGGATTGGTTTGACACAGTCCATATGAAACACACTTTAAACAAACGCTCAACCCTAAGCAGAATTGGTAACGGCACGATCTCCTGCTCTCACTCCCATGTGAATGAGGCAAGGCTGCAACGCCAATCGCTTCGTTGTACTGATGTTCGTATTGCCCCACATCCTCCGACTATTGTAGACAGTGTGCATACAAAAAAGTCGACTCTAATAACGTTTAAGAGGGGAAGGCGTTGAGCCATCAGAAAGGGGGCTCAGCCGCTTACACCCCCACCAAAGCATACTCATTTGAGGCTGAGTCGACTTAGAGGAAGCACAGCACCACACATCTGGAACAACCTCCCCGAGGTAATCCACACACTCGACTCCATCACCACGACAGTCACAGTCACCACTCACCAACAACACATCTTTTTGCACTTGCATGCAACTGACTGAAAGGTTGATTTTATTTTTAATTATTTAAACAACTATAGATTGTATGTAAATACATATTTCCTAATTGTTTAGAATGTTCTCATGTTATATTGATTATTTATGTGATGGCGCTTTGAGTGGCAGATTTGTGCCAGAAAAGCATCACGTGTGTAAAGAAAAATTAAACTGACTTGACTTGATACACAACCGGTTCAGATATTCGTCACTGTTATTGGCCGTGAACGGGAATCGAACTTCGGTTCTAGGGTTCAAAGGGCACTGCCCTTACGGCCCACGGCGCATTCGCTCCTTCCTAAACATGCATACACACCCCACACAAAAAGGCAATGACAAATACGAAGACGCCCCCCCTCCCTCCTGTAGTCTTAACGAACTTTTGGGGTAAATGCTGTTCGTGGGCACCTGTGAAGGCCACAAACCCACACACGTGTGCACTCACACACATGGCCACACACCCACACACGTGTGCACTCACACACATGGCCACACACCCACACACGTGTGCACTCACACACATGGCCACACACCCACACACGTGTGCACTCACACACATGGCCACACACCCACACACGTGTGCACTCACACACATGGCCACACCCACACACGTGTGCACTCACACACATGGCCACACACCCACACACGTGTGCACTCACACACATGGCCACACCCACACACGTGTGCACTCACACACATGGCCACACACCCACACACGTGTGCACTCACACACATGACCACACACCCACACACGTGTGCACTCACACACATGGCCACACCCACACACGTGTGCACTCACACACATGGCCACACACCCACACACGTGTGCACTCACACACATGACCACACCCACACACGTGTGCACTCACACACATGGCCACACCCACATACGTGTGCACTCACACACATGGCCACACACCCACACACGTGTGCACTCACACACATGGCAACACACCCACACACGTGTGCACTCACAAACATGGCCACACACCCACACACGTGTGCACTCACACACATGGCCACACCCACACGTGTGCACTCACACACATGGCCACACACCCACACACGTGTGCACTCACACACATGGCCACACACCCACACACGTGTGCACTCACACACGTGACCTTTATAACCATCGGACAGCTCCAGTGGTACGAGCCTGTGGAGCTATCAGCTGCTCCGGCTTAGGCACGCAAACATAAAAAGCATCAATTTGACCATAAAAGCAATCGGTAGGCCGTTTGTTGCAAGAGGTTCGCGGGTTGGAATCCGGCAGGCTGCCCTAGTTAATACTTCGGTTTCTAATTGTACTACTATTTTTTATTTTACCAGGTAAGGCCCACTGAGCTATATAGCTTTTTTTCAGAAGCGACCTGGCCACAAATGCTAGTTCAACGAAGTTGTTCTTCATCATGTGGACATTTATAGCAGCCACGGAGAGAACATGCAAACTCCAAATATACAGGCGTCGGGATCGGGACGTGTGTGATCGTGGCTAAGTGGAAAAATAGGTTCCCTATTCTTAATTATGCTGTTTCTGATAAGTAACTATGAAGGATACATTATCATCTTATTTATTGTGTTATTTATACTCTCCACAGCTACGGTAAATATTATTATTGAAGTTGTATACTTTTTTAGTATTATTTCATTTTGCGTCGACCTACCAGTAGGACCGGTATCGTAAAGGGAGAGAGGGTCCTTGCCAGTCTCATTGGCAGTCACCAGCGTTGATTCAGGCAAACCTGGTTGCTGATGAGACACTGTATGTTGTTCAAACCGGCCCAGAGTTTGCTTGAATTGAATCAATGCTGCTGCAATTACAGACCGCGTGGCCGTTGGGTTGTGTAAAAAAATAATACTTTATTTTATATAGAGAGACGGATATGTGAAGCAGACATTTTGTCTGCTTTAATAATTATTCAACGATTTCCTCCCATAGTAAAAAAAACCCAACCTACGTCACCGGTATTGGCCAAGCATCGCGATGCTGAGAAGTTACCTGCAGGCTACTCTGGTGGGGTATCACGCGTGGCAATATCGCCCACTACTGAAATAAAATCAAAATTTATCAAAACTCTCCTGAAAAAGAGTTGAAACTGATCGAGGCTTTCCTGGGTAATCACATATAATCATACAATAGTAAATAATTAAATGTTCTTGAAATTTCGCCTTATAGGATAGGATTTTGTATACGCAGCCGGATTGTGTGATTTGTTGTTAATATTTATTCCATGTTATATGCATTGATGTGACACCAGCCATAAGGCCCTACAACCGTCAGTATCATAACCACTGTATATTCGCGAGACTTTATCACCAGAGGAAGGTGGAATTTCCATCTCAGGCTCAGGGGTGACTACAGTGACACTTTGGCTCGACTTGCAGCTACTGTGTAAATAAATATAACCACGGATGACAGATAAGTGCGTGAAAAAGATGGTCAGAATCGTAATCTTTATTTAGATTGCAGGACTCCGATGGAGCTCTTTTTTCACAGATGTCCAGTGGGTCAACAAGGCACAGCTGCTAATGAGACTTAACGCAGTCGAGCCTTGTCCAACTATGCATGCCCTGAACTATTACATATTTCTGTATAGCAGCAGGCAAAATGTCTCTCTCTCTCTCTCTGCTGGCCTCTCTCTTTATGTGCACTGAAGGAGGGCCATTGCCCGAAACGTCACTTATTATATATTAAATGTTAAGGCCACGGTGTTATTGATGAATGTGTTGAGCTTTTTTGTTATTTGTACTTATGCACCAAATATATAGATACATTATGTTGTTAAAATGTTATGTAAATAAGTCATCTCTCCAAACCAAATCCATGTTTCTCTGCGTTGAGGCCCTTCGCGCCCCTCCCTTCACCCCAGCCCATCTCCTGACCCCCGCCCCCCACACACCTGTGCTGCACGGGGTTTCCCGGGCTTGGCCCCACGGGTGCCTGGCCTGGGCCGTTCTGCGCATGCGTCCCGCCGCTTTGTGCCGCCGCCGCCGCTGCTGCTGCAACTCGGCCCCGCTCGGTGAGGCAATCCTCGCGTTCCCCTCGCGTTCCCCTCGCTCCCCGTGTTCCCTTCGCTCCCAACTCGAGGTCGGATTTTTTCCTCCCCGGGCAACCCCCTCGCGCGTTTCCCGAGCCGAGGCCGCGGCACCGTGAAACGGACCGAAGCGCGAGGCGGGAGCCGCGAACCCGCAAGCGCGGCGCGGCCTATCGCGCATGGGCGAGGCGCTCGGCCCCCCCGGTCTCGGCTGGAGGCGCCACCGGACCCCGCGCCGTGGACGGCGGCGAGGGGTCGTTATGCGAGGCCGGGGTTTGGCGAGGCCTACCGTGGGGCCTAGAGATGGCGCGGTTGCCGCTCTGTCGCGAGGGAAGACGGCGCGGTGGGGAGATGTCGGAAGCGCTCGAGACTCGTGGGGTGGTCAAGTAGGACGGGCGACTAGTGGGAGATGGCAGTGGCGAGGGATGTGCTGTCGGGGAGTGGGGAGCATGCAGATGGAGGGGTGAGAGAAACGTGGCTGAGATGTCAAAGACTGGAATGGGGTGGGTGGGGAGACGGTACGAGTGAGAGGAGATGGAGGGGACATTGTGTTGGGGAAGTGATAACGCTGAAATAATTCTAGATACTCTGGGAGCTGGGAAATTGCAGAGGAAAATGGATATATGGTATGGAGAGGTGATGCAGATGGAGGGATACGAAAAAACATTGGCAGTTGCGACGGACTCGAAGATGATGGGGGGAGAAAGGGGTGACTCTAGATAGACAGATTGGGACTACGTGCACAGTTAAAGGAGACCAGGGATGATGAGGGGACAATGAGATGGTGGTTGCGAAAGAAGACGGCAGTTACGATGTAAGAAACGTGGAGATAGAATAATCGACGAGAGATGTTGGGAGATGATCAATAGCAAAAGGAGATGGGGGAGATGGAGATAGCGATTTATCTCCTCAGCCGAGATAAATCAACTGGTGGAGAGACGTCTCGATGTGGGAAAAAAGGACGATTGAGGATGTGGAGGGGAAGGGAAATGCGCGATGACGCGAGGCGGATCTCGGAGCCGTTGAGGGTGAGGAGAGCACGCGGGCGCTGGAGACGAAGAGTGGCAGTTGAGAAGGGATCGAGGATTTTAAAAACGTGCAGTTTTTTTTAACGGTAGAGAAGGGAAAAGTGGACGTGAAAATCAGAGGTGACGATACGAGAAGGCATGCCGTAGTTGGCGTATGCGGATCTTGAATATGCATTTGAGAGTGATGTTTTATTATTCCTCCTCGCCCCAAGTGCGCGACAGTTCCTGTGAGCGGCTGTGCACGCGAGACGAGAGATGGTGATGGAGAGGCCAAGTCCGCAGCTGGTTGGGCGGGAGTTCGTGCGGCAGTACTACACCCTGCTCAACCAGGCGCCCGACTATCTGCACAGGTGCGCGCCCAGCCGTCCAGCAGAGTTCGGCACCCTGCGGAAGCCGAGTCCCGTGACAGCTGTGGTGAATTTGTCAGAAGTGTGCTCATCAGAAGTGTGTGTGTGAATGTGTGTGGTCTGTCCAGGGTTTTTTTTTGTTCTACTTTTGTTTTACAGGGAGTTGAGCGGCATTGTTTGTGTGCTCATGTCGAGGTTGATGGGTGAGCCAGTGGATGGCTTCTCGAGTAGCCTGGTAAATACTACGGCTGATATGGTACCAGGAAAGGATGGATTTGTGCATGGCATTACTCTATTGCCTATGGTTTAAGATATAGTCTCATCGCAATTAATAGACTTGTATAGAGACCCGTAGACATGCACGATTGAAGCTAGAACTCGTGTGCTCTGTGGTTTGGGTTGAACTCGCATAACGATTCATATTTACATAGATACCCATAGACTGAAACTGACACGGCTTCAGCCTCGTGAATATATAAAATGTGAATGATTGAAGTAGGCAGTGGCGTACAATTTTCAGATGTTACAGCTTGGTGATCAGTGGTACTGTGGGCTATGCTTAGTTCCTTCGGTGTAGGAGAGAGCTGCCTCAGCCATGCGTCCTGAATACAGATCGTTGTTTGCGTGATCCATCCGGTTGGCGTCACAAACAGCAACAATTTAAAAGCAGATATTAATAGGGGGCCCTCCTTAACGAAGTGTCTTGACGTCCTTGGGGTAGGGTTGTGGTGAGATGCCCCGTTCCTGTTGGGATGTTGGTTAGGGGTTGAGTTAGGGTTAGTACTTATGGCTGGTTGGTTAGCGGTAGAGTTAAAGTTACTTGTTGGTTCGTGTCAGGACCAGTGTGCTGCACCCCAAACTAATGTCTCCACCTCCGCATTGCAACATTTGACTTTTAGGTTTGGTTCGCTTTATTTTCTGACGTTGAAAGCAAATCGACTATTGAACCTCAATGCGCGATTGGGAGGTTGCGAGTTCAAAATCCCATACAGGGATTTAATCGTTGCCTATGGTGTTAGATAAAACTGGTACTGTTTTATGCAAAGTCAAGAGTTGTCCGATGGCGTAACTTTCCCTTGCACCAATAAAAGTGGAATTTTCACCACTCGTTCAGGGCTCCGGCAGAGCTGGAAAAATATAAATAATTATTGGTTTTTGGCACATCTGAAATTGTGTTTTTTGGAGGTTGTGCATTAATAACTGCGTTGTAAATTGGTGCCATAAAGTTGATGATTATGATGATGCTTACTTAGTGTTGCCCCCAATAAAACTGATAGGCAAAGAGGTATTCAAGTGGCTCAGAGGTTAAAGTACTGAACTTGGTCCTGGGTTCAATTCCAGTCAACCCCCTATGATTAAACTGGGTTCACAAGGGGCTCAACCTGGTGACCCGTGCACATGTTAAGTTTGAATCTGCACTTTATATGGATTGGTTTCAGCCTTGAGAATTCAAAAGATGGTTTTACTGTCATCTCATGAACAGTGGCAAAGTGGGTAGGAAATTACTAACCACATTTTGAGTGGGCTTAAATTTATCTCAGAGGTAGCTCCTGTGATATCCATTTGCCTCTACTATGGAGAATTGCATTACTCTGTGAGAACTCCAAATCAATTATTTGTCTCAAGAAATGACAGTGATACCACATTTGGGATGTAATTGGAGGAAAATACAAAAACAATCAAGTATGTAATAAAGTGCTTCTATCTCAATTTAAATCGTTTCTTACCTTCCCAATACATGCATCAAATTGTGCATGGGTGAATGTAATTCTTACCATTTAACCAAATTACATTGAAACAATAGTGCTGTTACATTTAGGCTAACGGAGCAAACAAAAGTACAAACAAGACAAAAAACTTGAGACGAAAGGAATATGTTAAATCAGATCTCCATTCAAGTCGTGGCAGTTCTTGGAATACCATGGAGCAGGGCCTATTTTAATAAAATGTATTATGAACCATATGGCTCTGTCATGTATGTGTATGTTGAACTTATTTTACGCCGTTCTTAGCCAACTGCTAATCGAAGGCGCATTTATGTACGTATACGGCATAGTGTTACAAGGTACAGAACAACAGCTACAAAGGTTACCGCGTTTGATAGAGAGCTATGGTTACCATTGACAATTGGTTGCCACTTTGAAAATAGGCCCTGCCATGGAGGGTTTTTCTGTTGATGCCTTAACTGCTGCTGTTGTGTTGCGCTTTGTTGAAGGTTCTATGGCAAGAACTCAACCTACGTACATGGCGGGCTGGACGCCAACGGACAGCCCGCCGAGGCCGTCATTGGGCAAGCGGTGAGCAAACGCCAGCAGCCACCGGGGAGCGCACAGGCGATGCCAACTCGGCTCTGGCATCCACACACACACATGTGCTCACCACACTTTGCTTTTTGTGTGTGTTGTTTTTATTTCGGTGTTGAAGAGCAGTGTAGTGGTTCGTGCAGTTCTCAACCCAGTGACCTGTGTTCGATTCCCGGCATTGGCCAACATCAGTAGCAGTTATTTAAACCGGTCTTGAGCCTCCACTAGACCTGACTCAGCCTTAAATGAGAAACCTGGTGCAATCTGTAAAAATCAGCACCGAGGAGACAAAGGCAGTGGTGCATTGTGCACAGTGCCAGCCTTCTTAGGTGCTCACTAGCAGAACTTTACCCAACAGTGTGTTAAGTCTGTACGGGGGATTTTTGGCTTTGTGCTCGGCAGGAAATTCACAAGAAGGTGATGTCGCTAGGATTTCGGGACTGTCACACCAAGATACGACATGTCGACGCTCTCGCCTCGCTCGGGGATGGAGTTGTGGTACAGGTGAGGAGAAGCCATACCTGGATTTCGGCCCCGAGTTCTAGTTTCAAGGAGAACGTGGAGTGAGGGGTACATGCTCCTGACATCATTGCAATGCAAATGCCAACTAGTCGAGCATGTAATGATTTATGTTCTTTGGGTCTTTCGGTAAAGCCACGTAAATAGAAAAATAAAAAAAAATTATCACGACGTTTCGATCGCAACACAAGCAATCGTCATCAGGTGAAAAAATATAGCGGGAGAGCTACTGTGGCAGGAAAAAATATATTTTTTCGTCGTGATATTTATTATTTTTCTATCTATGTGGCTTTACGGAAAGACCCAAAGAATACGAGTCAAGATTCTTGTTCAGGAGGGCCCTGCTAGATTGGAATGTTTGGTTAATTCCTTGTTAAGTGTTTGGGTAGAGGAGAAGACTTCTAAATAGGAAAAAAATCCACACTGACAGGAGATAACACTGGAGTCCACACTCACTCGTCATGGTCCCACTTTCTGTACTGCCATCTCAGTAAATGTGCAGCTCAGCAGGTTAGTCTCACAGAACACAGTTATCTGTGTTATCCACCAACTCTTGCTACAAAGCACTGGATTTGTGGCATATGTTACCACACCTGCTGGTATGGGTACACTGTCATGCCATATTCTTTAAGTTACTGGTACTGTTGTAAAACTCTTTAATGAAGAGTGGCATGTTTAATTAAATTATACATTTATGTTCAAATGAGCACCCATAAGAGTTTTTGTTGATATTGGTTGAATCAGGCCTGAGGAACCTTGCCTTTACTGAGGGCCGAACCGGACTTTCCAATGCATGTGGTCGGGGCCACACATTAGTACACACGAAATCTTGATAGTGCAGCGTTGTCAGCATTGACCGCACAGAACTTCTCCAAACACGTTAAGTGACTGAGAACGTTTAAAATTTGGAATGCATTTTCCAGTTGGAAAATAGTCCTCCCGAGTACCAAATTCGTATGGCTTAGATACTTGTAGTGATGGATAAATATTGTTTGTGGGATGTTTCAAAGTTGTAGACCGCATGTGGCTGTAAGCCGTATGAAATATATTTGGCCATTAAGTCGCAGGTTTTCCACGCCTGGTTCCAGGCATTGAAGTGTCGTGCAAACACAAAAATGTATTGTGGTAATGTAAAACCGCTACTCGTATGACAGCTCGACTGCATCTATCCATGGTGCAGGTGATGGGAGAGCTGTCCAATGCCGGGCAGCCCATGCGGCGCTTCATGCAGACCTTCGTGCTGGCGCCGGAGGTATGTTCCCAGTGAGCACCGGTCATAACACACACGGTGCAGACACCATGCCAACCCATACACAGAGAAAACACTACACACACATAGCAAGTAAATACCACTTACAGGCAAATGCAGCATGTAGATTGGACACACACTCTGTACATACCACATACACCTTCACAGCATATACAGCACACACTTTGCTTATACCCCTTATACTTGTATGCACGACATATATGCCACGCACAACACATACGTACACATACCACCCGCACCCATACACGGCATACGCAACACACACACTGCATTTACCGCTCGCACTCATAATCGCAGCGTATATGCTGTACACGCATGCATACTTCGCTCATAGCCACACAGCACACAAACACGGCAAGTTCGCTCCTCCCACTCGCCCATCGCACGCTTGCACGCCGCTTGCACTTGCGTGCTGGATGACTGCCCAGTGTTTTCGGCCTCGGGCTCGTGTGTTTGTATCGGCGTGTGTGGGTGAATGTTTACTATTTTTTATCTTATCTCACACAGGGATCGGTGCCAAACAAGTTCTACGTTCACAACGACATGTTCCGCTACCAGGATGAGGTGTTCCTCGACTCTGACACAGAAGCTGCCGAAGGTATCGTGTGGCGTTCACGCCCGCCCGGGCCCGTCTAGATTTGTCACCTCGAGTCGGCCTGATTCTACCAGACCTTGTGTTCATAAACTAATTGAGTTGACTTGAGTTGACTGGCAACCTGAGTTGAAGGACAGCCAGAGTTGGTTTAAAAGAAAGTGGCATTACAATGATTTTCTGGAGTTACTTCAATCATCACGTCAGTTGGGCAACGCACCACCCTGCACACAGTTGGGCATGTTACTACTATGGATATAAAATGACTTTTTTTTAAGTTGCCTACAACACTTGGATCATCATGCATTGGGCATATTCTGGCATTGGACAAATTCTGACGTCGGACATCCAGGCCAGCCCGACAAGTGAACCCGTCCAGGAGAATTTTCCTTCTTGCATAAAATTGGCAATCATCGTGAGGAGTCTGGATACTTAGAAAAGAAGTGCAAGGGGCAATATTTCCACTTGGCCAGAATATCGACATTGGAATTCTGATGTTGGAATCTGGGCCAGCGCGTGGAGCGAAATCATCCGGCAGAATTTGCATTCTCGTCGAACTTGCGTTTGAAAACATGGAAAGCGGATACCAGGGTGGGGGTAAGTTTACTATGTACTCGTGCTCCTTGTTTTTGTGGAAACACGTTATGAGTGTGTGTTTGTGTACGTGGGCTAACAACAGAGTCGGGAGAGGAGGTGGAGGAGGGTGAGGAGGAGCAAGAGATTATCCAGCCAGAGCCTCCGGCTCCTGCCCCCTTCATTCAAGACACAACTCCGCCCAGGTGCGTGACGATGTTGGTTTGCAGATGATGATGTAAGTAGTGATGATGTCGGTGTGCTGGTGGTGATGTCAATGGTGTGAGGGTGGTGATATCGGTGGTGTATGTGTGTGTGTGCGCGCGTGAAGTTGTCGATGTTTGCCGGTGATATTGTTTGCGTGCGAGCAGCAGTACGGAGGTCGTTGAGCAGGAGGAGTTAACCTCTCACCTGGAGGCGGCGCCGGGTGGTGGCATCGCTGGTCCCGGGGCGGAGCCCGAATCCACGGGCGGTGTGGAGGGGAACGGGGACGTGGAAGGGGGCAGTCCAGAGGAGGACGAGAGGGTCCCTGACGGCCTAGATACGGACGGCACTGGTCATTGGAGGGACGAAACGGAGGGGACAACGCCGGAGAAACCGGAAGCAAAACCCCCTTCCCCGTGCCAGCCTGTCGAGCCCCCACCAGCCCCCCACAAGCCGCCCGAGGTGGGTCCTACTTTTCCCACTGCTGCCCTGTCGCTGGGGATGCGACCATTCATTGAGTCAAATCAATCATTTGCATTTCATTTTGATATGTTTTGTACAGCACTTTGAATAGCATCCTTTGCACTAATCAGTGGTATAGAAATAAAGACTTGATTGATATTACCCATTTAAAGCTTTTGTGACTGCAAGGATTCATCTTCTTGGTTCTTTCGGTAAAGGCACGTAGAATGAGAAAACAATAAAACAAAATAAGACAATAAAATTCTCACGACGTTTCGGCCACAACACAAGTAGCCTTCTTCAGGTGAAGGAACAGAACTGTCGGGACGACAGCGCTTCAATGAACGCTGCTCAGATTCGCAGCGTCTTTTAAGCTAGGTGGGAGAAGTAAAGCGCCTTGACAAAGGAGTTTACATATCAAACAGGAGAATTTAGTTTAACACGTAGGCTTTCGCGACCAATATTTCAATTTAGCATTGAATAGCTGCGTTAAAGTGTTGGATCAGCAGGGTGCTAAAGTCAGAAATTAGCATGTAACTGGGAGATTAGCGTGATGTTAATGTGAGGGATTAGCATGTGACTGGTCACGGAAATAGCTATGTTAAAGTCAAAGTTTACATATCAACAGAGGCATTTAGTATATGGACACTAAAGGACTGCAACTACTATCATACAATAAACCGATGTGAAAAAACTAAGTATAAATTACATCAATTTAATAAATGTACTCAATATATTCTTCAATAAGTTGAGCTATAAACATAAAGTAACTGGGTATTCACTACAGTATATAATGAATACCATATAGTAAACTAATAAAAAACTTAAATATAAACTTCATCAATGTTATTAATAAACTCTATATACTCTCCAATCAGCTGAGCTACTAACAATAAGTCGTTATACATTACAATGCCATATGCGCTGTTATACTCCATGTTATAAACCATACCATTAACCGTGGTATGGTTTATAACATGGAGTATAACAGCGCATCGTGGCTGTTTCTCCCCCCTCCTCCGTTCCGAGCATCGATGGACTCGTCCGCCTGAACAAAGCTTTATTCTCATTCTACGTCACTTTACCGAAAGAACGAAGAATAGGATATTACCCACTTTGATGTACAATTGGGAACACGGACATTGACAAAGAAAATGGAACTAAATCTAAAAAGTGCACGAAGGGGCATGGGAATTGCTTGCTTGAAATTACACGGAGATGGACAGAGGAACACATGGAGTGGAGAACGCGTCGAGTTAGAGACACCACACTGAGAGTTAAGGCAGCTCAGTTGGCTTGGGCAGGACGCATCCGCTCGACGTGGTGAAGGGCAGTGGTCGAGATGAATGACGGAGCGGTAGCCCACGCAGGAAACGCCTGAGAGGACATCCACAGCGGAGGTGAAGCAAAGAAACCGTCTCGTAGGCACGAGCCAGACATACCACTACAATGGCCTGGGGAGCCCTTCGTCCAGCAGTGGATAGGTCATGGCAGATGATTACGATGATGACTCTTTTTTTGCTCGCGCACGTGTGCAGACGAACTCGTGGGCGTCGGTGACAAGCAAAAACCTGCCACCCGGAGGAGTGGGGGCGCCATCGGGAGGAGTCACCCCCTATGTGATGAAGGCTCCTCAGACTCCGTTACAGGCATGGCCCCGACACAAGCATTCACTTAACAATGAGTGTTCACTTAAGGAGTGTTTCCTTAAACACAAATTCGCAATGAGAGGAAAATGATGGGAACCTAATAGAGTAACAGGAGCAGAGGGCCAGGAGAGATGAGGATGGGGGAGGAGGAGGAGGGTGAGGCTGCATGAGGGCCTCAATGCTGCTGCTGCACTGAGAGGGAGTGGCAGCGTGTGTTTTCACAACGGGCTGCGTGGAGAAGGGAGGAGAAGTTTAGAGTTGCCATACACAAATCATGTGATTTACAGGTGGCTTGAACGGATTTAGAGTTATTCGTAGCTTATTTATGAAAAACTAGCTGTACTACCCTGCTTCGCCCGGGACTTGGATCCACCAATCGCGGCCGCCTTTGTCTCTCCAGTGACGATGTTCACACCGCAGTAGTTACTCGTTTGAGGCTGAGTCGACCTAGGGGAGGCCCTAGGACCGGTTCAAATAATCGTCACTGGTGGTGGCCGTGAGCGGGAATCGAACTCGGGTCGCCGGGTTCGTAGCGCGGCGCGCTAACCGCTACACTACAATGCGTTACGCTTCCACATGCAAAGGGTCACATCACAGATTTGATGTCACAGCTCACTTGCCGTGCAAAAAATATATGCATTGTTGAGCTCCCCCCCACAAAAAAGTGTATTATTTTCATTTTTGCATGGTGTACAGTCTGGAAAGTACCCACATGGCAAATTTGCAGTTTGTTTGCATGTCGGGAAATACGCTAAACATTTTGAACAGACACATTCATATATATGGAGATGTACTCACTTGATATCACTTGCCCCTATTATGTATTTAATGAAGGACTTATATTTTGTGTTTGTCTGTTTTGGAATCTGTATGTGCGTGCATCTGCACTTGTGTAGCCAGCGGCTCAGCCAAGAGTGGAGGTGAAAACCGAGCAGGCGGGGACTGGACCTGTCCCACTCCTCTCTCGCGGTCGAGGGGGAGGGCCCCCACGGGACCGCACTGGGGGGCCACCCCGCACCCCTCGCCCTGGTAACACCAACCACCATGCACCAACTATGCATATTGATTCATCAATCAAAATAGATTCTTGCACTCATTTTTCATGCTTCCGATAAATTATGGTTTATGCAAAGCGCTTAATGTGGCTGTCCCAAAGTTTCGTAGCCACCTATTTTCGTCTCCTGGCATCTTCGTTATGCCATCTCTGTCTTTATTTAAGTGTGAATATTATTTGACAACATAATTGCTATGATTAAGTGAGTTTGTTTTAAAAAAATACAATTGACGAATGCCAAGTCACCCTCGAAAAAAGCGTCTTAGCTCAATGGGCTCTACTCGAGAAATACACTTCTCACTTCTAACTTCTGACATGCAATTGATATACTTATTATTGCATTTAGACTAATGGAGCGTGTTTTGTGTTTGCATGTGTCTTGTATGTGTTTGTGCGCATTTCTGTGTCTGCGTGTGTCTTTGTTTATATTGTGCGAGCGTGCAGAGGGGGGTGACGGGAACCAGGAGTTTGAGCCACGGCGCCCGACCACGGCACGCTACCCAGACTCCCAGCAGATCTTCGTGGGAAATCTCCCGCACGACATCGAGGAGGCCGAGCTGCGGGACTTCTTCATGAGTGAGCTCCGCTTTCTCAGTCGAGAATTTAAGTTCTCTTTTTAAAATTGGTTGGGAGTAGAGGTGGGGGACAGGACGCTGCCACAACGCTGTAACCGTCATCACGCTCGACTCGCAATTCAGAGGTTTGGCAGTTTGGTTCGCTCTCCCGGCGTGGCAGTTCAATAATTCCCCTGCCCTCGGTCCACTCGGCAGTATAAATGGGTGCACCACAGTCGATGGAGATGTTACGTTGACTGAGACTAGTCACAGATGTGTCGAGGCTTGATGGCATATTTTATCCCTACTGATGTAATGATGCATCGCTGCATCCCTAATTCACAGCCCCATTCTTGGTAATGAAGGTTTTTTGACCATTCTTCACGTTGGTCAGTGCAGGTTGGTGAACGGTCAGAAGCCAGGGACCAGTAGGCATAATCGCTCGCCTGACTGATGCTAGCCATGGTCGGGAATAGAATTTGGGATTGCCAAAGGTCACTGCGACGCGCTGACCATTGGCACCACTGGTCCATCCTTAATATCCACCACCATTGTCTGCCCCCTCCCGTCATCTAACACCGCCAGCGTTTGGACACGTCGTCGACCTGCGCATCAACACCAAGAGCAGCGGCAGCGGCAGCAAGCTTCCCAACTTCGGTTTTGTCATCTTCCAGGAGCCCGACGCCGTGCAGAGCGTGCTCGCCTCTAAGGTACGCCTGGGTCGGTAGATGTGTAAGAGAGCGTGTGGGAGGGTGGGTGGGTGGGCCAGTGGGTGGCCCACTGGTCAGGTGTGTGGGCAGCTGGGCGAGTGGGTGGGCAGCTGGGCGAGTGGGTGGGTGAGCAGGACTGGTAGGTGGGTGGTCTGTGTGGCTGCTGGTCTGCTCTGTGGAATCGGCTCGAGTGCGGAAGCTACACGAATTGCTGCATCGTGAGACCGTGGGAGATATCCAGCAGTCGATAGATTTTGGCTAATGACGATGAATGAGCCTTGCCCCTCGTTGTGTCCGCGTGCTCAGCCCGTGCTGCTGCGCGGGGAAGTTCGTCTCAACGTGGAGGAGAAGAAATCTCGCGTCGCTCGCGACGGCGAGTGGCGCTCGCTGGAGGGACGCCGCGGTGGCGGCGGCGGGGGGGGGCCTGGCGGGGCCCGTGGCGGAGGGGGGCCTGGAGGCCTGGGTCCCCGTGGTGGCGGGGGACCCCGTGAAGGCTGGGGGGGCGCGTCCCCCAGGGGCGGCGGCGCCGGAGCCGGGGGCTTTTTCCCGCGTGGCGGGGGGCGGGGTGGCCAGGGGGAACCCCGATTCCCTGCCCAACGGCGATAGAAGTCGCCCCGTGGATCGCCCGCCCGCCCGTCTGCTCGTCCATCCGTCCGCACCCCTCCGCACGCAGGAGTCTCCCCCCGCTCCGCGTGCAGGGGTGCTGGGTTTACCGCGTAGCTAGAGTCTCGTGTGGTGGGTGGCTTGCTGCTGTTGTCTTATCGCAGTGCGTTACGGCCTCTCCATGCGTCGTGTCGGCGCTGGCGGCACTGCTAGCCCAGCAAACGAGCCACGGGTCTTCTCGCTCTTGCTCGCCCCCCCTCCTCTCTCGACGTGCCGGCCCTCCACCAACCCCCGGTTCTGCCTTCCCAACTTCCGGGTGCTGTGCTCTCATCTCTCTCTCGCTTCCTTGGGTGTGTCGTTATAATTTTTTGTTTTGTTTTGAATTTCGGAGATGATCATTCTTAACTGAATATTTAAACAGACATGTACAGTGTTAAATAGCTCCTGCCCGTGCAGCGCTGAGTAGGCCGGCGTGGGCAAGCGCCGCATGTTTCGCTCTCTCGCTCGCCGCTACCGCTGTGTCGTATTAAACTGTTCATTGCTCGTTGCCTCCAGCGAGTGCTTCTCTGCGTGGCTGTGAAACCATCGCCCTGAGATGAACTTGTACATAAGGCGGGTTTGGTCGGTGGCGCAGTGGCATCCCCGAGTGGGTTGGCGAGTGATGTTAGGTGGCAGGCGGGGGGGGGGAGCCGGTGTGGGAGTCTGGGTGGGTGCTTGGCGTCTCAATCGATTGTGCAGCGGGAACGGTGGTGGTGGTAGATGTAGAACTCCCCTCCCCTTTTAACGTGTAGCGCCGTCCCATTTATCCCCACCCCCCACACGCGTGGCTGGTGTTTTGCGGGGGACTTGCAGTAACTGTGCCTTGTCGGGGCCGCGCGTGTGGAACTGAGCGGCGTGCGGGCTGCACGTTGTCCCGTTCGTACGTTCGCCCGCTCGTCGCTCCGTGCGTGTGAAGCGAAGGCGGGGGGGGGAGTAGCCGTGGGTCCGACCGCCGTGGGAGGAAAGCTTTCAAATTTGGCGTCCGCTCTGAAGTTCGGTTGCGTCCAGGGATTAATTTCTCACCCAATATTTTCTGGCTCGCTGGCAGACTGGAGTAGGCACGTTACTAATACAGCCATAGCGAAAGGTATTCTGAATGTGGTGTGCTGGGGTACAGAAATATTTTCCTTCTTGCTGACCCGGACAGAGCCGGCTGAAAATAAGCCCTGGTTGTTACCTTGCAGAAAAATCCTGCAATGTCTCATTTCTCAAATCTAAATTCCCAACGTCCTGGTTACAGTCCGGGACTGGGTGGTGGCAGGCGGACCACGTGCGTCCGTGTGCTTGTGCGCCGTATTCCCCTGAACTCTAGGGGTTGTGTGCCAGGCGTTCTTGAACTGTGAATCGCTGATCTCTTCCTGTCTGTGGCTCCTAGCCGCCTGCCTGACTCGCTTACCGCCCCGCTACGCTCGCCACCACCACCACCACCCCGCGTGCTCGCCGCAGCCTCGCAGTCCCCGGCACCAGGGCAACGTCGCTCGCTCTCGCTGCCTTCGTCTGTTGTCTTTTATTTGTTTTTCATTTTATTTCGTTTTATTTTTCTCTCCCTGAAATGCACTGTTTCATTAGTCTGTTGAGAGGTTTGTACTGCGTATTTCGTTTTATTTGTTTGTCCAATAAAAGTGTAGCTGGTTTACAGAGAAGCATGTGCCTCGCTCTTGTTGGGGGTGGGGTGAGGCTCCTCGGGGTGGTCTCGAGGGGTTGCCACCTGTCCCGAATTTTCCAAGATCGTCTCCTTGTTGAGGCAGCTGTCCTGCGAAATCTCTTCTTAGTCTCTCCGGTGGCATTTTAACCTACCCAGTTTTTTTTTCTGGATAAAGCCGAGGGCTTTGGTACATGCAGTGCTCACCTCTGTGTTGGTTACATCTGTTTGCAGCTTACATAAACGTTTCTGTTGTGTGATTGGTGTTCTTGTAATTTACAGATTTGATTCGATTGTGTAATCATATAGGGCTCGAGGATAATGCATTTATAATATATTGGGAAATTCTAATTTCCATGATGTTCCAGTTTGTGCAGTCAAGTTGGCATCCCGAGCTCCTCGCCGGCGCTTGAACGCGATAACCGAGTGGCAAATGTGTTGGCTGGTGAGGTGTGTGGTGGCTCGGGACTTCATTTTTCTCGCCGAAATATTTTCTGGATCACTGGTTGGAGTACGTGGCACGTGACGATGCATCTACAGCCATGGCGAGAAGAATACTGAACGTGGTGTTCTGGGTGTGGAATATTCAGAGACACCGACAGATATGAAATGAAGCACGGGAGAGGCTCGTTCACCCTCTTGTTATGGTTGATACCCTAACCATGCTAACCATGAGCCCAGATCAGATATTTAGCCCGGTGGTGTTGGCGTACACCTGTAATCCAGCACGATGGAGGCGAGGGTTGGTGGGTCACATTAATGTCCTGAAACTCCGTTCCCGTGGGTGTGAAGGAGGAACCCTACCATCACTTGCCAGAAGATGGTACAGCAGAGTGTGGACTACACCTGTTCGCTATGAATGGGATAGAACGTTGCTCCCTCGCACGCATAGGGTTTCTACGGGTGCTCCAGTTTGCGATGTGTAAACATCAATTGGCGGATAACGTCTTCATATATCAAGGACAGCAGAGCTTGGGGATTGACGCCGGCGCACTGCGTGGCTGCTGCCTTCCTGCTTGTCTGGGGTCTCTCCGAGTCGTCTTATCGATGAGAGCGGAATGGATTTTGCGCGGCGGTGCGTTACAAGTTGGCGTTATGCACTATCCACGTCTGATGTGAAGAAACTTGGCTGCATGTTTGGAAATGATATAAAAACGTTTTGTAATGATGCGTCGATGAAATTTCACGGTTAATGTAAATTTAGGAATTCTGCGATGATGCTAACGGTTCAAACAATAACTACAAACGAATCGTGATCCAGAATTGTAACAATTCTATCACGACTAGGCGAGTAAATCGTGGCATGCCTAAAAATCGAGAGATGAAATCAGGCCGTGTCCTAGGAAAACTTGATAACCCGCCTCGGTGTAGTGCTGGCGACAAGAGGTCTCGTCTGATTGTGTACCAATGCACGTGACCTACACAGAAGCGCCTGCAAATGAAGATCGATTGTGCATGTGGATCGCGCGTCGATATCTGCAGTGGTCCTGCGCCTCCCCTGGATCGATGCCGTGTGTAAACATCAGCATTGGGGAGACAAAGGCGGCCGGGCGCGGTGCTGACGTAACGGGGCACGCGCGCGAGGAGATTGAGGGGGAGAAGTGGGCTCGTGGGATCAACAAGTGGCGACTCATCGCAGGAACACGCCGTGTGCCTCACGACTCGCTCCCGCCACCTCCATGATGCAACCTCCTCTCGGGAAACGTCCCCTTACAGTTCCCCCGAATTCACCACCCGCCCCTCCCCACCATGCAACCCTCTGCTTCAGCTGCCTGCTTCAACCATCCCCAACTCGGACTCCCCAGTTGCAGGTTCCCTCCCGCTGACTGCCGGCTTCAACTTCCCCGCTTCAGTCTTCTCATAGAGCCGCCAGAATTCAACTCCCCTGTTTCAGCTCCTCTGCTGTAATTGTGCCAACTGGCACACCCCCTCCCGTATAACGAGGCTGGCACCTGAGGGTGGGGGATGTTGGGGTGGGGCTTCATCCGGGATGAGCCGAGCCGCTGAGCGGATCACGCGGCGAGACCTTCGCTGGGTGAGCGCCTCCTCCTCCTCGTCTCGTCTCACGGTCAATAGCTGCCTTCGTACTGCCAGTGTCGTGGGGAGGATCAGTGTTGGGGTCAATGTTATGATGAAGGTTTCGGGCTGTGTTAGGATTATTGGTGGGATTGTGTTTAGTGCTGTGTCAAGGTTATGGCTATCTTGTGTTCAGGGTTATGGTGAGGAGATTTGTTGTGATCAAGGTTAGAGGGCTGTGTTCAGGGTTATGGTGATATTTGTTAGGGTTAGGGGGCTGTGTTCAGGGTTATGGTGAGGAGATTTGTTGTGGTCAGGGTTAGATGGCTGTGTTCAGGGTTATGGTGAGGGGATTTGTTGTGGTCAGGGTTAGATGGCTGTGTTCAGGGTTATGGTGAGAGGGGGATTTGTTGTGGTCAGGGTTAGATGGCTGTGTTCAGGGTTATGGTGAGAGGGGGATTTGTTCTGGTCAGGGTTAGATGGCTGTGTTCAGGGTTATGGTGAGGAGATTTGTTGTGGTTAGGGTTAGGGGGCTGTGTTCAGGGTTATGGTGAGAGGGGGATTTGTTCTGGTCAGGGTTAGATGGCTGTGTTCAGGGTTATGGTGAGGGGATTTGTTGTGGTTAGGGTTAGGGGGCTGTGTTCAGGGTTATGGTGAGAGGGGGATTTGTTGTGGTCAGGATTAGATGGCTGTGTTCAGGGTTATGGTGAGATTTGTTGTGGTCAGGGTTAGGGGGCTGTGTTCAGGGTTATGGTGAGCAGATTTGTTGTGGTCAGGGTTAGATGGCTGTGTTCAGGGTTATGGTGAGGAGATTTGTTGTGGTCAGGGTCAGGGCTCTGTTATTGCAAAAGCATCGCGCGCTGTGAAAAAAATAAAAATCCACGCACAATCAACGTCACATATGGTTTCCTCTTCATTACCGCGGGCATCGACTCACAATCGAACTCAGTTACCATGGGGTCAGGGCTAACGTCACGGATTGGCCCGATTCCTCAGATTCGTATCGTGGTTTCTGCTCGCGTTGGCGGCTATTGGTTGGGCTAATGTTGGGTGCTCGTGGTACAGTGCGTTAGTTTTTTTGGTGGGGCTGAAGGTGGGGCCTTACCATCAGCCCCACCAAAACTAAGCACCTGCCTGGGTATTTTGTACCATCGGACACTCCACCCCCACAACTCCCAATCGGTGATGGGGCAGTTGTGGAGCGAGTGGAGAGTTTCCCATACCTGGGCAGTGTGCTTATGACCGGCTCCAGTTTAACAGCAGAGGTCTCACTCCGAATCAGTCGAGCGGCAATATCTTTTGGTTGCGTAACGCTGTGTGGAAGCTACCTGGTCTGTCGCTCCACACTAAGCTTCAGGTCTTCTCGGCCACGGTCATTCCCTCCCTTCTCTACGCTTGCGAAACGTGGACCCCCCTAATGGAACATTTTCGCCGGTTGGAAACATTTAGGCTGGCCTGCCTACGATTCATCCTGGGTTTAACCAGAATGGATTGTGTGAGGAGCTCACAAATCCTTGAAAGATCTGGGCAAGGTCCCATCGGTGAGCTCCTCCGGCAGGCAAGGCTGCGTTGGCTGGGTCATGTAGCCCGCATGCCCAGCCACCGTATGCCGAAACAGCTTTTGTTCGGCCGGATCGAGTGGGCTAAACGGGCGCGGCACGGGCTAAAGAAGAGATGGAGTGATGTGGTACAGGAGGACGTGGAGCTGCGTGAACTTGCCGATGACTGGTACCAGCGGTGTCAAGATCGGCCTCTGTGGAGGAGGCTCGTGAAGGACGCTGCTGGGCAGTTGGAGGCAGTCGCCCTCCAACAACAACGAAGGGCGGAGGAGCGACGCTCACAACAACGAGCGGAGCGCCGGGTGGCTGAAGCACAGCGGGTTGGCATAGTAGGGGGCACAGGTGGTGCATCAGCCAGTCATCTCAGTCAGTCGACCCGTGACATCTGGGTCTGCCCCGTGACCTGCCAGCGGGCGTTCGACACTTCACGTGGCCTCGGGTGCACATAGCCTGGCACAAGCGTCGTGGTGACGTCACCGCCACTTAGTGGCGAATGGCGGTTGTTGTTAGTACTGTGGCCAGGCCTCGTAATATGGATACACATTCCGCGTCAGTGCGGTGCCAAATAAGTTGAACATACGTACAGTACATACACATTGCCCGACACAGGTTACCCGCTCGTCACGCGCCACTAAAGTCTCAATCGGATTCACAGCAAACACGGAATGACGTTTGGTCAACGTTGGCCCAACGGTTCCAACCACGTGCCAACCACGTGCCAACGTTGGTTCGACGTTGGCACGTGCACTGGCTTATCTCGCGCGCGTCATTTGCGTTATTGGTTGAATTGCACATTGAGCGGCGCGGGGATTCGGCGTCATTTCCAGTGAGTACAGCAGCAGCAGCAGCTGTCATGATAATAGCAGCAGGAGCAGTAATATCAGCAGCAGCTATCATGATAATAGCAGTAACATCAGCAGCAGTAGCAGCAGTAGCAGCAACTATCATGGTAATATCAGCAGTAGCAGCAGCAGCAACTGTCATGATAATAGCAGCAGGAGCAGCAGTAAGATCAGCAGCAGCTGTCATGATAATAGCAGCAGCAGGAGCTGGAGTAGCAGCAGTAGCAGCAGCAGGAGCAGTAACATCAGCAGTAGCAGCAGCAACTGTCATGATAATAGCAGCAGGAGCAGCAGTAATATCAGCAGCAGCTATCATGATAATAGTAACATCAGCAGCAGCAGCAGCAGCAACTGTCATGATACTTAGCAGCAGGAGCAGCAGTAAGATCAGCAGCAGCAGCTGTCATGATAATAGCAGCAGCAGCAGCAGTAAGATCAGCAGCAGTAGCAACTGTCATGATAATATCAGCAGCAGGAGCTGGAGTAGCAGCAGCAGGAGCAGTAACATCAGCAGTAGCAGCAGCAGTAGCAACTGTCATGATAATAGCAGCAGCAGGAGCTGGAGTAGCAGAAGCAGGAGCAGTAACATCAGCAGTAGCAGCTGTCATGATCATAGCAGCAGCAGGAGCTGGAGTAGCAGCAGCAGCAGTAGCAGCAGCAGGAGCAGTAACATCAGCAGTAGCAGCAGCAGTAGCAACGGTCATGATAATAGCAGCAGCAGGAGCAGTAATATCAGCAGTAGTGGCAGCAGCAACTGTCATGATACTTAGCAGCAGGAGCAGCAGTAAGATCAGCAGCAGTAGCAACTGTCATGATAATAGCAGCAGGAGCTGGAGTAGCAGCAGCAGGAGCAGGAGCAGTAACATCAGCAGTAGTAGCAGTAGCAACTGTCATGATAATAGCAGCAGGAGCAGCAGTAAGATCAGCAGCAGCTGTCATAATAGCAGCAGCAGGAGCTGGAGGAGCAGCAGCAGGAGCAGTAACATCAGCAGTAGCAAATGTCATAATAGCAGCAGCAGAAGCAGTAACATCAGCAGCAGTAGCAGCAACTGTCATGATAATAGCAGCAGCAGCAGGAGCTGGAGTAGCAGCAGCAGGAGCAGTGACATCAGCAGCAGTAGCAGCAACTGTCATGATAATAGCAGCAGCAGCAGGAGCAGCAACTGTCATGATAATAGCAGCAGCAGGAGCTGGAGTAGCAGCAGCAGTAACAGTAGCAGCAACTGTCATGATAATAGCAGCAGCAGGAGTAGCAGTAGCAGCAACTGTCATGATAATAGCAGCAGCAGCAGGAGCTGGAGTAGCAGCCGCAGGAGCAGTTACAGCAGTAGCAACTGTCATGATAATAGCAGCAGCAGGAGCTGGAGTAGCAGCAGCAGGAGCAGTAACAGCAGTAGCAACTGTCATGATAACAGCAGCAGCAGGAGCAGCAGTAGCAGCAACTGTCATGATAATAGCAGCAGCAGCAGGAGCTGGAGTAGCAGCAGCAGTGACATCGACAATAGCAGCAGCAGCAGCAGCTGTAGTCGTTGCGGCTGTAGTAACATCAGAAATCTCACCAATAGCAGCAACAGCAGCGACAACATAGTCAGCACTCGCTGCAGTAACAACTGAACACGTTTGTCAACATCACTGTGGCCTTTAGAAGAGGAAAATACATAATAAACAACGTTTCGGGCAATGGCTCTTCATATAAGATGAAAGCAGGAGGGGTTGGGCTAGTTTGATGGTTAGGGCTCGCGATGTATCTGCTATGAAGTAGGTCTATTGATGCATGTGCCGAGTCGATGTTTACCGTGCCGAGTCGATGTTTACTGTGCCGAGTCGATGTTTACTGCGCTGAGTCGATGTTTACTGTGCTGAGTCGATGTTTACTGCGCTGAGTCGATGTTTACTGTGCTTGTGTGCCACTGCTGACACATCGCTGCGCTACGAAACCGGCCTCCCCTCGGTCGGCTGAGCCTCAAATGAGTACCTGGTGCGGTGTGTAAACATCGCCACGAGGGAGACAAAGGCGGCCGGGCGTGAAGCTGGCCACCTACCCCCTCGTGTGCCGAGCCGGCGTTCATAGGCGCTCACTAACAGCACTTGCCCCTACAGTCTGTTAAGGCTACACAGGGGATCTTTGTCTTTGGTAATGGTCATGGTGATAATGGTGACAGTTGTCGTGTTGGACTCGGAGACACCAGTCCCTACTGCGGTGCCTAAACAGCAGCACGGGGAGGTCAAGGGGGGAGAGGCGGGCAGGGGGGGCGCGGACGTGATTTCGGCCACATCACCCAGCCTTAGCAGGCGCTCGCAAACATCGCTTTCCCCATGAGTCTACAGAGCCACCGTGGGGGGGGGGGGGGGGGGTCTGTGTCTGTTGGTGGCGGTGCTGCCGGTACTGCTGCTGGTGCAGTGCGTTACAGGACACACAGCGCTGGCCACTCCAATGCAGGTGGACCCAGAGCCCCTCGGCAAGGCTCTGCGCGGGTCACGGGGGTTGGAGTCTCCCCGCCTTGCGGAGTTGCGAGCCTAGGGAGGCAGAGGGGGACACGCGGGCACGCGCTGGCGTGAGAACCCGGCGAGTTCACCGACACCACGAGGGCCTTGGGATCCTCTTCCTTGCTGAAGGCCGAACACGACTGTAAGGGCGGTGACGCGGCCGAGTGTTAGCGTGCTGTCGAGGAGCGCAGTTCAAACTCGGCGGTCGTCCCGGTCATTATTGCGCGTGCTATGACCGTGATGATAGTACCGCTACGCGCCGTCTGCTTAACTTTGGACGTTAAAGATCTCACTGCCGTCTTTCGCAAGATTTACACACGCGCACACACATACCTCGACCACTGCTGTCACGGCGAGATTGCGGAGAGAGAAGTGACGAAACAATGACGCAGTGTCGCCAGATCTAAAATAGCCCCCCTCTCTCCCCCTAGTACCCGGTTCGTGCGGCTAGGAACCTCGGTAGTGATGGATGAACATCGTTTGCGGGTCGTTAAGAATTTGCTGCGCTTCGTGTGGCGGCCCTGGGTCGTGTGAAATACAGTCGCGGGCCGTTATCGGCCCATGGGACGTGACTCCTCCACCCTCGGTTTGCAGCACTGTACGTGCGCGCCGCTCCGCGGTTCACGGCTTCACAGACGCTGCCCCTCGCGCCACCACCACGGACCACGTTGACCGATCTCCGAATGCAAATCGTCGTTACACGCTGCACGCGCCAGATGGTTGCTAATCCTAACCCCGCGTGACGCATGCGCGCATGTGTGTGTGTGTGGACTCGTATGTTTACATACGTGTATGTGTGCCTTAAGGGTTAGTGGATTGTGGCATTGCGGGGTCGTATATGCGATGTCGACAACGTGGGGAAGCCTTCATCCAGCAGTGGATAGACCCCGCGTCTCGCGAGCACACAGCCCGATGCTGCTGCTCTCACCTATTTGTCGTGCCAGGTGAGCGCCGCATACTTCTCCGCCAGGACCCCCTTGAGCTGCGCCGCGTGCACGTGGTCCCGCGTCTCCACCACGCAGGTCACCTGCGCACACACGCGCGGTTTAATAACAACCACGCTCAGAAGAACAATGGTGACAAAACTCATTCTTGTAATAACAATGAGCGGTTGTAACACGCCGCGAAGTATCCGCTCAGACGAGTGGGCTCTGAGACGCCCCGGGCAGGTGCTGCACTCACCTGCACGCTGAACGAGTCGGTGGTGAGGAAGGTGCGGTCTAGACTGATGTCCATCAACCTGGGGGAAGGTGAGAGGAGACAGGTCACTCACCTGTCCACCACCACACACGTGTCCACAACCACTCACGTGTCCACACCCACTCACGTGTCCACAACCACACACGTGTCCACACCCACTCACGTGTCCACCACCACTCACCTGTCCACAACCACACACGTGTCCACAACCACACACGTGTCCACCACCACACACGTGTCCACACCCACTCACGTGTCCACAACCACACACGTGTCCACAACTACACACGTGTCCACAACCACTCACGTGTCCATAACCACACGTGTCCATAACCACTCACGTGTCCATAACCACACACGTGTCCACAACCACACACGTGTCCACAACCACACACGTGTCCATAACCACTCACGTGTCCCCAACCACTCACGTGTCCCCAACCACTCACGTGTCCACAACCACACACGTGTGCACAACCACACACGTGTCCACAACCACTCACCTGTCCACAACTACACATGTGTCCACAACCACACACGTGTCCACACCCACTCACGTGTCCATAACCACACACGTGTCCACAACCACACACGTGTCCACAACCACACACGTGTCCACACCCACTCACGTGTCCATAACCACTCACGTGTCCACCACCACACACGTGTCCACAACCACACACGTGTCCACCACCACACACGTGTCCACACCCACTCACGTGTCCACAACCACACACGTGTCCACAACCACACACGTGTCCACAACCACACACCTGTCCACAACCACACACGTGTCCACCACCACACACGTGTCCACACCCACTCACGTGTCCACAACCACACACGTGTCCACAACCACACACGTGTCCACGACCACTCACGTGTCCACAACCACACACGTGTCCACAACCACACACGTGTCCACACCCACTCACGTGTCCATAACCACACACGTGTCCACAACCACACACGTGTCCACAACCACACACGTGTCCACAACCACACACGTGTCCACAACTACACACGTGTCCACCACCACACACGTGTCCACAACCACACACGTGTCCACCACCACACACGTGTCCACAACCACACACGTGTCCACAACCACACACGTGTCCACAACTACACACGTGTCCACAACCACACACGTGTCCACAACCACACACGTGTCCACAACCACACACGTGTCCATAACCACACACGTGTCCACAACCACACACGTGTCCACAACCACACACGTGTCCACAACCACACCTGTCCACAACCACACACGTGTCCACCACCACACACGTGTCCACAACCACACACGTGTCCACCACCACACACGTGTCCACACCCACTCACGTGTCCACAACCACACACGTGTCCACAACCACACACGTGTCCACAACTACACACGTGTCCACAACCACTCACGTGTCCATAACCACACGTGTCCATAACCACTCACGTGTCCATAACCACACACGTGTCCACAACCACACACGTGTCCACAACCACACACGTGTCCATAACCACTCACGTGTCCCCAACCACTCACGTGTCCCCAACCACTCACGTGTCCACAACCACACACGTGTGCACAACCACACACGTGTCCACAACCACTCACCTGTCCACAACTACACATGTGTCCACAACCACACACGTGTCCACACCCACTCACGTGTCCATAACCACACACGTGTCCACAACCACACACGTGTCCACAACCACACACGTGTCCACACCCACTCACGTGTCCATAACCACTCACGTGTCCATAACCACACACGTGTCCACAACCACACACGTGTCCAAAACCACACACGTGTCCACAACCACACACGTGTCCATAACCACTCACGTGTCCCCAACCACTCACGTGTCCACAACCACTCACGTGTCCACAACCACTCACGTGTCCACAACCACACACGTGTCCACAACCACACACGTGTCCACAACCACTCACCTGTCCACAACTACACATGTGTCCACAACCACACACGTGTCCACAACCACACACGTGTCCACAACCACACTTGTCCATAACCATTCACGTGTCCATAACCACACACGTGTCCATAACCACACACGTGTCCACAACCATACACGTGTCCACGACCACTCACGTGTCCACAAACACACACGTGTCCACACCCACACACGTGTCCACAACCACACACGTGTGCACAACCACACACGTGTCCACAACCACTCACCTGTCCACAACTACACATGTGTCCACAACCACACACGTGTCCACACCCACTCACGTGTCCATAACCACACACGTGTCCACAACCACACACGTGTCCACAACCACACACGTGTCCACACCCACTCACGTGTCCATAACCACTCACGTGTCCATAACCACACACGTGTCCACAACCACACACGTGTCCACACCCACTCACGTGTCCATAACCACACACGTGTCCACAACCACACACGTGTCCACACCCACTCACGTGTCCACAACCACACACGTGTCCACAACCACACACGTGTCCACACCCACTCACGTGTCCACACCCACTCACGTGTCCATAACCACTCACGTGTCCACAACCACACACGTGTCCACAACCACTCACGTGTCCACAACCACACACGTGTCCCCAACCACACACGTCCACAACCATACTCAGGGGCACGTTTATCTCGTTCATCCTGGCGAGAAACTCGAGAGACCAGGACGAGTGACATGACTCGAGTCCACACCCACTCACGTGTCCATAACCACTCACGTGTCCACAACCACACACGTGTCCACAACCACTCACGTGTCCACAACCACACACGTGTCCCCAACCACACACGTCCACAACCATACTCAGGGGCACGTTTATCTCGTTCATCCTGGCGAGAAACTCGAGAGACCAGGACGAGTGACATGACTCGAGTCCACATAGAACTTTCCTTTGCTCGCCCGCCCGCCCGCTCGCCCGCGTGGGCTCGGCGCAGGCGGCCAGCCGACTCACCTCGCCTCCTCCCTGCCCAGCAGCTCCAGCAGTCTGCCCTGCTCCGCGGGAGAGTCGCTCACGCGCACCGAGAACTTGCAGAGTCGCCCGTCCAGCACCAGCGCGCGGTCCACGCAGCGCTTGAAGTGGGAGACGTCGATGCTGCCGCTCACCAGGACGACCACCACGCTGGGAGGGGGGGGGGGGTGATGCACAAGAACGTCACACGTGGGACACTTGTACACGCGCACGCTGATATCTCGATGTGAATTGACTCTATTAACGCAGCCAGCGTTCATTGCTTCGCGTGTCACATGGGGCGTCTTTAACAATCATCGGGCGCGTGCAGGCAGCGTGGAAACGAGTTCATAGTCTTTGAATGGGGAGCAGAAAATTGGTAAACGCGGAAAGACGAAGCGTGGTAGTGGTGGTGCCACCGTGGGGACTGGGGTTTGGGAAACCAAGATGTTTCTTGGATGTGGTGTGTTGGGTACGTAGACGTGGTTTTTATTATTGTTATTACTTGGTGTGTTTACCCAGAAAAGCCTCACTGAGTCTCATGACTCTTTTTCAGGAGGGTCATGCCAAGTTTTCGAAGTTGGGGGAAAGGATGACTCCTGCTGTGCATGCGCGATGCCAATTGAATAGTTTGCAGGAAAAAAAAATAATTTGACAAAATTTGGACCCTAACGCCAACACACAGTGGCCTACCCTGGCGAATGACTTCATAAGACATTACGTGCACTGTGAAGCAGGTGGCACGTACCATGAACGTGGTTGTTACACCCGCAGTATAAATCGGGTCGGCCGCTCGAATCGAACCGCGAACCTCTGCAACTAGTGGCGAACGGCGCTACCGCTGGGCCACAGGGAGAGATGTTCGTCTCACATGACACTCACCCCGACGCGTTTACTTCTCAGTGCCAAATTAAACTTAAATTAAATCACTCGCAGTTCACCAGCGTTGCTTGTTCAATCAAGCCCAACCCACTCTGCTGATGAGACTCTGAATGTAGAATCCGGTCCTGCTTGTGTTGAACCAATGCTGCTGCTGAAATGATGCACACGCTGACAGCACTTGCCCCAGCAGCATGTTAAGGCTACACGGGGGCCCTTTGTCTTTGTGTTGCGTCGCACGCTCACCGCTTGCCACGCAGCTCGGGCAGCTTCCCCGAGACGATGGCAGCGAGCGCGGCGGCGCCGTCCGCGTTCACGGCGGCGCCCTCGAACTCCAGCACCTTGAGCATGGCGAGCAGCAGGTCCTGCTCCCTGCACACGTGGGCGGGGGGGGGGGGGAGTGGCACGGGTGGTCACACGGGGGTGGTCACACGGGGGTGGGCACACGGGGGTAGGCACACGGGTGGGCACACGGGGGTGGTCACACGGGGGTGGGCACACGGGGGTGGTCACACGGGGGTGGGCACACGGGGGGGCACACGGGTGGGCAATGCCGTACCGAGGGCACTAAGTGGTGGCACCCCGGGGCCCCCTCTTAAGGGGGCCGCTGTCCTACCTGGAAGCCGAATTGCCAAGCAAGCGGTGTCGGCTGATGGCTCAGTCGTTTGGTGGGGCGGTCGCCACGCCAACGCAGTTCGGGTGGGGGGGGGGCAAGCGTGGGACCCTACCCCACGCGCCAAAATGTTTAGCTGCGGCGGGGGGAGGGGTGCGGGGGGTGGGGATAGGGTAGGGTCCCCCGTGTGGGGGGGTTAGTGCGGGGGGAGGGGGGTGGGGGGAGGGTAGGGACCCCCGTGTGGGGGGGGGGGGGGTGCGGGTGGGAGGGGGGTGGGGGGAGGGTAGGGACCCCCGTGTGGGGGGTGGTCTCAATGTCTGGAGGAGCCGAGTGGCAGCGTTCGGGGGGGAAGAGAGAGAATGTGACGTCACACAGTGGCGCGTGGTGGTGGTTATCGACGGCTCGTGTGATGAGTTTTGCGATGTGCGTCACTGGGTGTGACCCAGCGGTCAGCACACCGCGCTACGGACCCAACGGGCTCAGTTCGACTCTGGGCCACGGCGATTATCTGAGCCAATCATCGGGCCCCCAATCTTAAAACGTGTCGGCCTCAGCAGGTGCTCGCTACCTGGCCCTCGTATGAGTGACCCTAATGTATGTTGGCGTCACTTGTCAGTACGTGTGTCAGTGTGTGTCACGGTGGGTCAGTGCATGTCGGTGTGGGTCAGGGTCAGTGCCTGTCAGTGTGCGGGTCATCGATGTTGCTCTCGCGTGCCACTCACGTGATCGACACCACCTTGTCGATCACATGACGCCCCGTCGCGAAGGCGTTCGGTCCCACGGACTGTGAGCTGAGGTCTGAACACGCACAGGTACACACACAGGCACAGGTACACTAACACAGGTACACAGACAGGCACAGGTACACTAACACAGGTACACACACATGCACAGGTACACTAACACAGGTACACACACAGGCATACAGTGAGGGAAAAAAATATTTGATCCCCTGCTGATTTTGTACGTTTGCCCATTGACAAAGAAATGATCAGTCTATAATTTTAATGGTAGGTTTATTTGAACAGTGAGAGACAGAATAACATCAACAAATATCCAGAAAAACGCATGTCAAAAATGTTATAAATTGATTTGCATTTTAATGAGGGAAATAAGTATTTGACCCCTCTGCAAAACATGGCTTAGTACTTGGTGGCAAAACCCTTGTTGGCAATCACAGAGGTCAGACGTTTCTTGTAGTTGGCCACCAGGTTTGCACACATCTCAGGAGGGATTTTGTCCCACTCCTCTTTGCAGATCTTCTCCAAGTCATTAAGGTTTCGAGGCTGACGTTTGGCAACTCGAACCTTCAGCTCCCTCCACAGATTTTCTATGGGATTAAGGTCTGGAGACTGGCTAGGCCACTCCAGGACTTTAATGTGCTTCTTCTTGAGCCACTCCTTTGTTACCTTGGCCGTGTGTTTTGGGTCATTGTCATACTGGAATATCCATCCAAGGCCCATTTTCAATGCCCTGGCTGAGGGAAGGAGGTTCTCACCCAAGATTTGACGGTACATGGCCCCGTCCATCGTCCCTTTGATGCGGTGAAGTTGTCCTGTCCCCTTAGCAGAAAAACACCCCCAAAGCATAATGTTTCCACCTCCATGTTTGACGGTGGGGATGGTGTTCTTGGGGTCATAAGCAGCATTCCTCATCCTCCAAACACGGCAAGTTGAGTTGATGCCAAAGAGCTCCATTTTGGTCTCATCTGACCACAACACTTTCACCCAGTTGTCCTCTGAATCATTCAGATGTTCATTGGAAAACTTCAGACGGGCATGTATATGTGCTTTCTTGAGCAGGGGGATCTTGCGGGCCCTGCAGGATTTCAGTCCTTCACGGCGTAGTGTGTTACCAATTGTTTTATTGGTGACTATGGCCCCAGCTGCCTTGAGATCATTGACAAGATCCTCCCGTGTAGTTCTGAGCTGATTCCTCACCGTTCTCATGATCATTGCAACTCCACGAGGTGAGATCTTGCATGGAGCCCCAGGCCGAGGGAGATTGACAGTTCTTTTGTGTTTCTTCCATTTGCGAATAATCGCACCAACTGTTGTCACCTTCTCACCAAGCTGCTTGGCAATGGTCTTGTAGCCCATTCCAGCTTTGTGTAGGTCTACAATCTTGTCCCTGACATCCTTGGAGAGCTCTTTGGTCGTGGCCATGGTGGAGAGTTTGGAATCTGATTGATTGATTACTTCTGTGGACAGGTGTCTTTTATACAGGTGACAAGCTGAGATTAGGAACACTCCCTTTAAGAGTGTGCTCCTAATCGCAGCTCGTTACCTGTATAAAAGACTCCTGGGAGCCAGAAATCTTTCTGATTGAGAGGGGGTCAAATAATTATTTCCCTCATTAAAATGCAAATCAATTAATAACATTTTTGACATACTTTTTCTGGATTTGTGTTGTTGTTATTCTGTCTCTTACTGTTCAAATAAACCTACCATTAAAATTAAAGACTGATCATTTCTTAGTCAGTGGGCAAACGCACAAAATCAGCAGGGGATCAAAAACTTTTTTCCCTCACTGTAGGAACACATAGGAACAGGTATACTCTCACACAGGTACGCACAGATGCAGGTGAACACAGGTACACTCACACAGGTACACTCAGACAGGTACACTCTCACACAGGTACCCTCTCACGCAGGTACACTCAAACAGTTACACTCTCACACAGGTACACTCTCACGCAGGTACACTCACACAGGTACACTCACACAGGTACACTCACACAGGTACACTCTCACACAGGTACACTCACACAGGTACACTCAGACAGGTACACTCTCACACAGGTACGCTCTCACGCAGGTACACTCAGACAGGTACACTCACACAGGTACACTCTCACACAGGTACACTCTCACGCAGGTACACTCTCACACAGGTACACTCAGACAGGTACACTCTCACACAGGTACACTCAGACAGGTACACTCTCACACAGGTACACTCAGACAGGTACACTCTCACACAGGTACACTCAGGCAGGTACACTCTCACACAGGTACACTAACACAGGTACACTCTCACGCAGGTACACTCTCACACAGGTACACTCACACACAGGTACACTCTCATGCAGGTACACTCAGACAGATACACTCTCACACAGGTACACTCTCACGCAGGTAGACTCTCACGCAGGTACACCGTCTATCTCACCCTCGCACAGTCGGTTCTCTTTGCCACTGTCGCTCTGTGTCGGCTGGCCCATAGTGAGTGCGCGCTGCCAGCTGGGACAGCTGGCCAGCTCAACACCCTACAACAACAATAACAACACCACTAACACAGCAGCAGCTACAACAACAATAACTAGCAATACCACCAACCCCTCCACCACGAATAACAACAGAGACGTCATCAACAGCGCGGGCACTCGCAATACAACCACTCGCAACACCACCACTCGCAACACCACCACTCGCAACACCACCACTGGGAATGCCACCACTAGGAATGCCACCACTCGCAACACCACCACTGGGAATGCCACCACTGGGAATGCCACCACTGGGAATGCCACCACTCGCAATACAACCATTGGGAATGCCACCACTGGGAATACCACCACTGGGAATGCCACCAGGGCAAGCGTCGTGACTCCACAAACACCGCCACCACCGCCATGGCTCACAACACGTGTCCCACAGTCGGTGACACACAACACGTGTCCCACAGTCGGTGACACACAACACGTGACCAACAATCGGTGACACACAACACGTGACCAACAGTCAGTGACACACAACACGTGTCCCACAGTCGGTGACACACAACACGTGACCAATAGTCGGTGACACAACACGTGTCCCACAGTCGGTGACACACAACACATGTCCCACAGTCGGTGACACACAACACGTGACCAACAGTCGGTGACACACAACACGTGACCAACAGTCGGTGACACACAACACGTGACCAACAGTCGGTGACACACAACACGTGACCAACAGTCGGTGACACAACACGTGACCAACAGTCAGTGACACACAACACGTGACCAACAGTCGGTGACACACAACACGTGACCAACAGTCGGTGACACACAACACATGTCCCACAGTCGGTGACACACAACACGTGACCAACAGTCGGTGACACACAACACGTGACCAACAGTCGGTGACACACAACACGTGACCAACAGTCGGTGACACACAACACATGTCCCACAGTCGGTGACACACAACACGTGACCAACAGTCGGTGACACACAACACGTGACCAACAGTCGGTGACACACAACACGTGACCAACAGTCGGTGACACACAACACGTGTCCAGACCCAGCAGCACGCCATGCCCAGTCGACCTCTCGCTGTGGCATTCACGACCACACCGACTCCGAGTCGATCTACCAGCGACCGGATGTGGTTTAGTACGAAATTAAAAACCCTGCCACCACCAACGCAACCACCATACAACAAACACCACCATCCAACAACGACCACCACCATCCAACAACAACGACCACCACCACAATACAACAACAACCACCACCACCATCCAACAACAACAACGACCACCACCATCCAACAAGAACGACCACCATCAACAAGAACGACCACCACGGTCCAACAACAACGACCACCACCATCCAACAACAACGATCACCACCATCCAACAACGACCACCACCATCCAACAACGACCACCACCCAACAACAACGACCACTACCACCCAACAACAAGAACGACCACCAGTACCATCCAACAACGACCACTACTACCACCCAACAACAACAACGACCACTACTACCACCCAACAACAACAACGACCACCACCACTCAACAACAACAACGACCACCACCATCCAACAACAACGACCATCACTACCATCCAACAACAACAACGACCACCACCACCCAACAACAACAACGACCACCACCACCACCCAACAACAACGACCACCACCGTCCTCCTCTCCCGAACGCGACACGGCGGCGTGTCTCACGACGATGGTGACGGCCGGGTCGAGATGCTTTATGGCCGCTGCTGCCCCCGCCAGGAGGCTGCCCCTGCCCCCGGCCGGGATGATGACCGCCTCGACCCCCGGGACCTGCTCCATCACCTCCAGCCCCAGGGTCCCCATCCCCGCGATCATGTTGGGGTGGTCGTCACTGTCGGCAGGGGGAGGCACGGGGAACCAACGGCGGTCAGGGTAGAGGGCGGTGCTCGGTAGGGAGCAGTGTCGGACTCGTGCAGAGCCTGTAGCAGATGTTGTTATAAAGTGGCCCTAAATTAAACAAAATACACACAAAAATATTAAAACACAAATGTTTAACTTGCACAGTAAAGTAATTGTATTATTTCATTTGCTATGCAGCCAGATAATACGACAAATCGCTAACCTTAAACACCCGGTCGTTCATAAAATTTGAAGGCGGTATAGTGCTATAGTAATAGAGCAAGTGCACTATCACGAACCGGAATTGATAGCTCGAAAGCATTCAGCGCGGGGCCCTTGAAAGTGCGGGGCCCGTAACATTTGTAGCTACTTTTGCGACTCGGATAGCCCGGCACTGGAGAGGAGGTGTGATGAGTGAGAAGGGAGAGTTGCATGGAGCCAGAGCAGCGTGCGTGGTGGATATCAAGAAGATCACACGCGCTGCTACCCGCCACGTTTAGCGATTTTCGGAGTTTGTTTAAAGTTTATTTCGCATTCATTCGGTTCGCCACCCCATTTAAAGGTAGTCACGCTTCAGGTTTATGGGGGGGGGAGGCTGCCTCGTGTTGCGTGGAACATGAAACACGAACAGAGGCCCCTTTGCTCGATCCACTGCTGGACTGGGGTCTCGCCACGCACGTTGGTCGGAGCAATTTGCTGAAGGCGGAGGGGAACGATGGAGTTGTTGTACAGTACAACAGCGGATTGTTCTGCACTGTCATCTATCTGACATGATCACGATGACGATGATCAATGACAGTGTACACGGGGAATGGAGGAGAGCGGCTATGTCTGTTTCTGGCTGCTTTACGAACCCGGCGACCCGAGTTCGATTCCCGCTCATGACCAACAACAACATTGACGAGTATCTGAACCAATCCTGAACCAACCCTTAGTCGACTCAGCCTTAAATGAGTGCCTGGTGGAGTTTGGTGTAAACCTCAGCACTGGGGGGACAAAGACGGCCGAGCGTGGTGTTGACCACCCACCTCCCTCGTGTGCGGGCCTTCAAAAGTGTTACTCGCCATCAGCACTTGCCCCAACAGTATGATAGAGGCTATACGGGGGACGTTTGTCTTTGGTGGTGGGGGGGGTCGAGGTTCACTCACTCCTCCAGCAGCGCGCTCCCTTCCTCGCGCGCCACCTGCAGCGCGTGCGCCCTCGCCCCCCGCGCTCCCTCCCCTCCCCCGCCTTCGCCGCTGCCCACCCGCGCCCTCCCCGCGTTCGCGCCCAGGTCCCGGCACGCGCGCAGCAGCGCCTCGGGGGCGCGCGCCGCCACGAGCACGCGCGCGGGCACGCGCATCTCGGCCGCGTGGTGCGACACGGCGAGCGCGTGCGCCGAACTCCACGCGCCCACAGCGACCACCCCGCGCGCGCGCTGATCCTGCGCGGGGGAGGGGTCGGGAGTGTGGGGGGAGGCGCGTGCGGCGAGGAAGGTGGAGAGAGGAGGAGGAGGAAGATGGAGGAGGAAGGTGGAGAAGTTGGGGAGAGTGAAGGAGGATGGGGGAGGGAGTTGGTGGCGGGGAGATGGAAAGATGGGAAGGCGGAGACAGTGCGGGGGGGGGGGGGGGTGATTGGGGTGAAGAAACGGCGGAGGGGATGCGGAATAAGGAGTAAGGGGGTGGAATGTGCGTGAAGTTGGGGGAGTTGGATGGTGTCGAGAAGAGGGGTGGAGGAAGGTGGAAGATGGGGAGGGGGGTGGCGATGGGGAAGTGAAAAGGGGTGGGGGACGAGCTGAGAGAATGTGGGTGTAGTTGGGGGTAAAAGAGGAATCGAGCATCGTGGGGGGGGGGGGTCTGAGTTAGTGGTGAAATTCCACATTCTCGGAAACACGGAAGTTGACAAAGACAATGGAACAAAGGGCGGGTATGCGCCAGAAGCATGGGGGAGACGCGTGCTTGGGATTGCACGGAGAGACGGGACAGAGAGACGCCTGGATCGCGGAACTAATGTGAGCTGGGGACACCGCCATCGTGTTGACTCGGGGAGAGCGCCACGGTGCTGGGCACGACGCGTTGCTACAAGGGGGGGGGGGGGGGGGGTGGTGGTGAAGCTCAGTGGTGGTGGTGGAAGAGCAGCCAACGGAGGGAATGACACCCGTGGAGATGGAGTAGCCATGAGGTCAGCGCGTGCAGGGGAGCGAGATGCATCGTGGCATCGCAGGACCGTGCGGGGTGACGATGGCGTGTGGGAGGATATCATCCATCAATGGATAGAACATGCCGTATGGTGGTGACGATTAGGTGGTGGGAGCTCGATGTGCTGTCCATGCTGACTTCTAGGTGAGCGTGACTGACGGTGTTTGTGATTTTGGTGATGTTGATAGTGATAGTGACGCTGTTGGTGTTGATGACGCTGATAATGTTGGCAATTGTGGCGATGTTGAGTGCGGTGATGGTGTTAGTGAGGCTTGTGGTGGTGATGGTGATGCTGACGATGTTGGCAATTATGACGACGATGATATTGGTTATAGTGATGCTGATTGTGTAGTTGTTGATGATGGTAATGGTAATTGTGGTGATGATCAGGTCGAGGGGCCTTAGGCTCATATGGGGGAAGGGTCTAAGTGGGCTCAAGTAACAAAAATGTACGAAGTTATCAAAATATTAATTTATTTACCGAGGTCACATTAACACATCCGACTCAAGGTAAATTAATGAAAGATAAACCACTCGCGACGGTAATTTATTTTTAGAAACATTCTAACTTTAGCTGCTGTGATAACATCATGAACGTTGTGTGGTCGTAATTCAGAGACCCCAAAGAAACATTTCCGATAGCCGTGCCAACCGTCGGCAAGCTGCGATTGCAACGTGGGATGGAGAGCCGAAAGCAAAGCTATGGTGGTGGTGGTGGTGATCATGATGATGATGCTGGTGTTGGTAATGGTGGTGCTGCCGGCCAGTCATCCCAGTCAGTCGACTCATGGCACCTGCTGGGTCTGTCCCGTGACTTCCTGCCAGCGGGCGTTCGACACATCACGTGGCCTCAAGGTGCACATAGCCTGGCACAAGCGCCGTGGTGACGTCACCGCCACTTAGTGGCGAATGGCGGTGGTGGTTGTTGTTGTTGCCGATAGCGGTGCTGCTGATGGTACTGTTGAGGGTGGGAGTGGTGAGCTTCACCCACCTTGGTCATCATCTGCAGGCAGTAGCGCACCCCACGCTCCTTGGCGCTGCCAGTCGCATGGAGGAACTCCTTCTTGACGAAGATCTCTGATCCGTAGTACTTGGAGAGGCGCGAGTACTGAGTGCAGGAGGAGGATGGAGTGAGAGGAGGTGATGGAGGGGGAGAATGAGGAGATGGGATTGAAGAGGTAGAGGGAGGGGGATGTGGTGGTAGAGGGCAGAGAATGGAGGGAGATTGAGGGAGGAGGTGGTAGGGTTAGAATCTCCACCCGCGTTCGCATCATCGTAGATTCGAGGGATGGTGGATGACGAAGTATGGTAAAAAAAAATAGAAATTCCAAGACCGGCGCGGCCTAGGGAAGCCTTCATCCAGTAGTGGATTGTCAAATGATCTATTGATGATCATCGTCTCTACCTTCCACTGTGGCGCTTGTGCCCGGTGTGAAGCAGACAGTGAGCGCTCTGGCTCAGCGCGGGCAGCAACAGTGCCGACTAATACCATCTGTCCCTTCTGGATGGGATAGAGCGTTGCCCCCTCGCGCACGTGGATTTTATCCGGGCGATCCGGTGCGCTCCCACTTGTATAAATACTCATTAATTTGGCTGAAAACATCTTAATACGATGAAGGACTGCAGAGCTTTGGCACATTTTTGGTAGCGTCGATGGCTCGCCGCCTGGCGATATGTAACATTAAACATCACTATAATTTAATTAACATTATCGTCACTGTCACGCATATGGGTTCCATCCCGTCGCATCCCTTCTCGTCGCTCCTCATCCCTCCTCTTGTCTCCCCGTGCATATCCATCGCTTACAAGACTGCTTTTCATCCATCGCCAGAACTTCACGTCACTGGTCATCCCCCCTCGCTCATCCCAATTCCTCCCAATCTCCTGTCACGTGTCACCACCGCTCCCCCTTATCCATGGCGCTCCATCGCTCTAAGCCTCTCCTCATCCTTTGTCATCTCTGTCATACTCCCCATCCCATATACTTCCGATCTCTCGAAGCCCTTCACATTCGTCTGTCCCCTCCTTTCCATCTCCCTCCTCCACTCGCCTCTCGTCGTCCCTCTCAATCCCTCCACCCAACCACCCCGCCCCCCGCCCTCCACCAATCCCCCCACGACCCCCCCCCCCACAGCCCCCCACCATGCACGGAGTCCGCTGCACCGCGTTCTGGATCATGAAGGCGGCGGCGCTGATCTCTTCGAACTGGAGGGATTCTCCCTCCGCCGCGGGGGGCGCGGCAGGGCCCTGGCGGGCGCCCCCCGCCGCGCCCTGCAGCAGCGGCCCCCCGTTCGGGCCGGGGGGCCGCGCCGAGAGTCCCTGAGGCGGGGAGGGGACAGCCCCCCCCGCGATGGAGGAGCCGGCCCCGTTCTCCACTCCTTTCACCTGCGCGCACAGAGCGACCCTCGTTTGTTAAGGCGACTCGGAGGGTGAGTGGGGGGGGGGCTAGAGGAGGGGAGAGAGGAGGAGACTGCAGGGAGATGATGGGGGAGCGTGGGGCGAAGGGGGGAGAGAAGGGAGAGGGTTGGCTGTGGGGGGGGTGTTGTAGAGAGAGGGAGGGGAGAAAGAGGAGAGTGTGGGGAGAGTGCACGCAGAGAGGGGGGAAGGGAGGCGAGAGAAGGCATCGACGGACTTGTTGAGAGAGGGGAGAAAATGACGAGAAGTACGGGAGGGAGTGGGGCGGGGGGAGAAGGAGGGGAGTGAGAGAGTGGGAGACGAGAGACTGAGACAGACTGAGACACTGAGACAGACATAAGAGACATAGAGAAAGAGAGATGAGTATGAGCCTCTCACCCATGATGATGCGGACGAGGAGGTTGATGAAGGGGGGGACCCCTCGCCCCCCTCCCCCTCCTCCCCCGGTCCACAGCCGCTCCCCCGCGGCTCCCCTATCGCCGCGTCATCCTTGCTGAAGTCACACGCGCGAGATACGCGCCTGTCATCATCATCATAATCACCGTCATTATCATCAACTCACTCTTTCATCATGAGCACATAAAATGTATCTATCTATCGATTCATCATGATAATCGATTATCAGTTCTGGTGTATCCACTGCTGGATGAGTAACTGGCCATGTGGCTCAGTGACAGCGCGAGCGGCTCGCAGTGGAGTTGCAATCCTGGATTGGGGGTTGACTCAGCCCATCATCTTTACGGAATCAGTGTCACTTTGTGGTAGTGGTCAATATGGATCGCCTCGCCCCCGCCATAGGAATGAGGAATTTATCCCGCTGACTCAAGTCTGTAGACAGGAGATGAGCACCGATTAAAGGAGGACATCACTGTGACATCACTGTGACATCACTGTGACATCACTGTGACTGCATGGATGTAGTCTCTCCGAGTGTCTCACACACACATCGATAGGTATACAAACACAAAGATTCCCCGTATAGCCTTAGCAGACTGTTGGGGAAAATCCTGTTAGCGAGTAACACCTATGAAGGCCGACACAGCACGCAAGGGGGTGAGTGGCCAGCACTACGCCCAGACGCCATTGTCTCCCCAGTGGCAATGGAGAGACACCGCACCAGGTACTCATTTAAGGCCGAGTCGACGTAGGGGAGGCCCATTGACCGATTCAGATAATCATCACTGGTATTGACCGTGAGCGGGAATCGAACCAGGGTCGCCAGGTTCATAGCGCAGCGCGCTAACCGCTACACTACCGCTCCCCACTCACACACACACTCGCACACACACTCACGCACACTGACACACACACTCAACAACAACAACCGCCATTCGCCACTAAGTGGCGGTGACGTCCCCACGACGCTTGTGCCAGGCTATGTGCACCCTGAGGCCACGTGAAGTGTCGAACGCCCGCTGGCAGGAGGTCACGGGGCAGACCCAGATGCCACGGGCCGACTGACTGAGATGACTGGCTGATGCACCACCTGTGCCCCCTACTGTGGCAACCTGCTGTGCTTTAGCCACCCGGCGCTCCGCTCGTTGTTGTGAGCGTCGCTCCTCCGCCCTCCGTTGTTGTTGGAGGGCGACTACCTCCAACTGCCCAGTAGCGTCCTTCACGAGGCTCCTTCACAGAGGCCGATCTTGACACCGCTGGTACCAGTCATCGGCAAGTCCACTCAGCTCCACGTCCTCCTGTACCACATCACTCCATCTCTTCTCTAGCCCATGCCGCGCCCGCTTAGCCCCCTCAATCCGGCCGAACAAAAGCTGTTTCGGCATGCGGTGGCTGGGCATGCGGGCTACATGACCCAGCCATCGCAGCCTTCCCCGCCGGAGGAGCTCACCGATGGGACCCTGCCCAGATCTTTCAAGGATTTGTGAGCTCCCCACACAATCCAGTCTGGTTAAACCCAGGATGGATCGTAGGCAGGCCAGCCTAAATGTTTCTAACCGGCGAAGATGTTCCATTAGGGGGTCCACGTTTCGCAAGCGTAGAGAAGGGAGGGAATGACCGTGGCCGAGAAGACCTGAAGCTTAGTGCGGAGCGACAGACCAGGTAGCTTCCACACAGCGTTACGCAACTGATGAAAAGATATTGCCGCTCGACTGATTCGGAGTGAGACCTCTGCTGTTAAACTGCAGCCAGTCATAAGCACACTGCCCAGGTATGGGAAACTCTCCACTCTCTCCACAACTGCCCCATCACCGATTGGGAGTTGTGGGGGTGGAGTGTCCGATGGTACAAAATACCCAGGCAGGTGCTTAGTTTTGGTGGGGCTGATGGTAAGGCCCCACCTCTTAGTGGCACGCTCCAGTCTCAGCAGCAGCGTCTCCAACTCCTCTTCTGAATGAGCAGCTATTACCAAATCATCAGCATACATAACGTGGTTGAGCAATAGGGAGCCATCCCTTGACCGCACCCGGGCATCGATCAGCCTCCCATTATATCTGTACCAAATGGAGATTCCCCCGTACAGCTATTGAAGGGTTCACGAACTACGTGGCCAAAATAGATGTTAAATAATGTCGGAGCCAGAGGACATCCCTGTCGCACCCCAGGGTGTACAGGGAATAGCTCTGACTCCCAGCCACGTAGTTTTACCCGGGCCCGCTCACCATCATGAAGGTCCTTAATGATCGTGAGCAGAGGGTCAGGGACTCCAAAAGCACGAAGAACGACCCAGAGCCCACACACACTCACGCACGCTCGCTTTCACCTGACCAGCAGCACAGAGACCGCGTACACACACACTCACGCACACACTCTCGCACACACACTAGCACACACTAACACACACACTAACACACACACACACTCACACACACTCACGCACGCTTTCACCTGAGCAGCAGCACAGAGACCGCGTAGACGACCATACGCAGCAGGAGGCTCAGCACGGCCTGGAGGTCGCTCACTCGGTCGAGCCGATCGAGCTCCCCGTTGTTCACCTTGTCTCTAACGTCCACCCCTTCTTTAAAGTTAACCCCGTCTCGAACGTCCACCCCGTGTCTTGCGTTGTTCAACCCGTCTCGAACGTTCGAGCTGCGTCTCGCGCTCTTCAAGTCTCTGACGTTGAACACGCCTCTTAAGTTGTTCATCCCGTCTCGGACGTTAGAGCCGCGTCTCACGCTGCTCGCGCGTCTGAAGTTAATTCCGTCTCGAACGTTAGAGCCGCGTCTCCCGCGTTCTGCGTTCTTAACCACTGACTCCGCGTCTCTGGAGTCGATCCCGTCTCTGAGGCTCAAGTCGTCTCTGACGTTCAAGCCGTGCCTCACGCTCTCCGCGTCTCTGAGGTTCAAGCCGTCTCTGAGGTTCAAGCCGCGTCTCACGCTCTCCAACCTCTCCCTCACGCGTTCCACGTCTCTCACGCTCACCACTTTGCTCTCCCCGTGCCCCGCGCCCTCCCCGGCTCTCGCGCTCCCTCCGTCGCTCGCACCCCTCACGTCTCGCACTCCCTTCACGCCCCTCACGCTCTCCCCGTCTCCCGCGCTCCCCCTATCCCTCACTGCGTCCACCCCGCGCGCGTCTCCCACGCTCCACGGGCCCCGCACGTCTCCCTCGTCGTCCATCTCTCTCACGTCTCTCACGGTCACCACGTTGCCCATCACCGCCCCCCCCCCACTCTCTCCCTACACGAACCCCGAACTCGCAGGCCCCGCGGAGTTCGCTCGCTCGCCCCCCGCACCCCGCCCACCCCTCCCCTGGTCAAGTCAACCCCGGCGAGCGAGGGCGCGCCGGTTTGGTCCCGGTGAGTCCGAGACCGAGGGGGTAAACGTTAGCGGAGAGGTGTCCCTGGGTCTCTGCGCAGTGGGGTTCGGTGAGACGCGTTCACGGGTCACCCCCACGCCCCCCCACTCACACGCAGTGCGCGCCGTTCCATAAATAGCACGCGCGAGCCCGCAGCTGTGTGCGTGCTTTGTGGTGCCCCAACGCTCGATGTAGGTGATAGGGGGTCGGGGGCTGCCTGTACGTCTGTGTGTGTGCTTGTTTTTGTGGCTGTGTGGTCGTGGGTATCTATGTGTGTCTCCGTGTATGTCTGTCGGTACGGTGCGAATGAAGATCTATATACATACACACGTGTCTGTCTGTGTGTGCGTCTTTGTTTGTGTGTATCTGTGTGTGTGTTGGGGAGCGGTAGCGTTAGCGCGCTGCGCTACGAACTTGGCAACCCGGGTTCGATTCCCGCTCACGGCCAACACCAGTGACGATTATCTGAACCGGTCCTGGGCCTCCGATAGGTCGACTCAGCCTCAAATGAGTACCTGGTGTGGTGTGTAAACATCGCCACTGGGGAGACAAAGGCGGCCGGGCGTGGTGTTGGCCACTCACCCCCTCGTGTGCCGTGGCAGCCGTCATAGGTGCTCGCTAACAGCACTTGGCCCAACAGTCTGTTAAGGCTATAGGGGAATCTTTGTCTTTGTTTGTGTATATGTGTCTGCGTGTGTCGCGGTGTGTGGTCATGTCTGTTCTATATTTAGCTTTCGCACGCGCTGGGCTCTCTGAGCACGGAACATCACCACCACACATCACCATAAACATCGCTATCATCACCGTCACCACCAGGACCAGGAGTGGTCATCAACACTCTCACCACCACCACCACCACCAAACGATGTCGTCATCACGAGACGAGGAGCGACACGCGAGCAGTAGCCCGGGAGGGGTAGCGGGGGGGGGGGCTCGTAGGGAGCCCAGCTGGGGTCTGGCGGGGTCCCACACCTCCTCCAAAAGGGGTCCGGGCTTGAGTCGCAGTCCTGCTGAGAGCCGGGCGTCGGCGTGGAGAGCGCCGCCCGCCCGTGGAGCACCCCTCCCTGCAGCCTCGAGAAGAGGACATGGGCTGCGAAGTTCATGGCTGCGAGTTGGTTGAGACCCGTGCAGGACGAGGTGGAGGAAGAGGCAATGAAGAAGGTGGAGGAGGATTCCCGAAGCTTCTTGGAGCTCAGGGGTCCGATGCGTGGGGGCTCCACCGTGCTGCGGAGTCGCGTGACTCCGATGCCCGCTAGAGAGGCGCTCTGCGGTCTCTCCGCTCGCACCTGGGCGCAAACCGAAGCTTCCCGCGCTGTGTGCGGTGAATGCCCTGGGGAGAGGATCCCGCACTGAGGGCGTTAAGGGCTTAGATCGCCCCCCCACCCACCCAGTCCCTCCCTCCTTCCTTATTCCTCGTCTTACTTCTTTCACGTATTCACTCCTCCCGTCTCTCTCCAGCCTTTCTCCATCCATTCACTCCCACCCTGCATCGTGTCTCCCCGCTCCCCACCATAATTCATCTTCCTCCTTCTCTAACCCATTCACTCTCCATTCCACCTTCTCTCTCTTTCCTTCATTCTCTCCTTCATTCTCTCCTTTCACTCTCCTCTTACAGTCAATCATTCACTCACGTTGACACTTTTCCTCTTTCATTTTTCCCGGTTCTACTATTTCTCATTCTCTCTTCATTTCCCTATCGTTCTCTCCTTTCCTTTCCTTGCCCCCGTCCCCCATTCTCCTTCACTCGTTATGTGACATACGACGTTTCGGGCAATGGTTCTTCTTCACAGCAAAGGTGGGGGGGGGGCGGCTGGGTGGCAGTAATTGCCTTGGTTTGAATTTGTTAAGGTTTGAGTGAGCACATCGATTGTTACATCGCTGTTACTGAGCGCAGTCCTGAAGGCCCAACATCGCAAAGCGGCCAGCAACAAACAGCACGATTCAAGTTGCAATACGTCCGAGTTGAGACGCGTCTGAAGTTGGGCAAGGTTCTCACACGGGCTTGGGAGCAGAGACGCTCGTGGGAGGGGATTCCCGACAGGAGCGGCGGTGCGTAGGCAGAAGCATAACTAGAAGTGGTGTGAATCGTAGTGTGGGTGGGTAGGTGAGTGAGTGGATGAGGAGTGGGTATGTGGGTGGGTGAGTGATTGAGTGAGTGGGTGAGTGTGGGTGAGTGAATGGTTGAGTGGGTGGGCGGGTAAGTGAGTGTATGCGTGTGTGTGTGAACGAGTGAGCGGGTGAGTGGGTGAGCCCTGCAGTGTGGTGGTGGATGAGAAGACGCGGTCGAGTCTGATTAAGCTTAGGGACTCGCTCAGGCAGCTCCTGTATTATTACCTCGGTTCCATCTCCCCCCCCCCCTCCAACTCCACCCGTCAACCCAAGCTCACTGCCCCCCCCCTTCCCTCCACCCCAACCCAAGCCCCCTAGCTCGCTAATTGGATAACGGTGCTCACCGTGATGAGGATTCCAAGATAAGCGCGGATGCAACGAGGGATTTATGGGTCTTGTGAGCGCGGCTGCCCGAGGTGATTACGCCATCCTGCCCTTGAGGAAAGCTTCTATCGTTTGCTGCCTTCTTATTCATCAGCATCATCATCACCATCAGAATCTTTATTTATACTGGAGGAATCCGATGAGCTATGAAGCTCTTTTTCACGGACGTCCAGTAGGGGCACGGGGTCAGCAACTTACAACAACAAACAATACCATCGCCATCATCGCAACCCATGATCAGTCCACTGCTGGATGAACGCCTCCCAAAGCCGTCGCCATCTCTCACGGCCCTGCGATGTCGCACTCCACACCCAACGCCTGCGTACGTAGAGCTCGATTCACCACCGCTCCATCTTCCCGTGGGCCACCGAGACCCGAGGTTCGCTAATTGGACTCCCTCTGTGGGACGTCCCCGTTGGCGCGATCTCTCTCCTTTGACCCAGCGGGCATCCTTACCGGGCAGCCACGCGTCCTACCCAAGCCCCGTCCTAGATCGCTCTGCGATGTACGCTTAACAGACAGGCAGGCAAACGCACAATACATTTGGCAATGACAATAGCAGCACACACAAGACAAAGGTCTCCCGTATAGCCATAACATATTGTTGGGGCACGTGATGTTGGCGAGCACCAATGCAGGCGGCACAGCACGAGACGGTGTGGACGTCCGGCACCACGCCCGGCCGCATTTGCTTCCCCAGTGACGATGTTAAAACATCACAGCAGCTAAATTATGATTTAAAGCTTTCGTGACTGCAGTTATTCATATTCTTGGTTCTTTCGGTAAAGTCACGTTGAGGGGAAACAATAAAATAATACAAAATATACATGAAACAATACAATTATCACGACGTTTCGACTGCAACACAAGCAGTCATCATCAGGTGTGAAAACCAACGGCAAGAACATTTGAAAGAAGTGGCGGTTTGTGTTATTTATTTATTTATTAGCGTTAGCATCACGGATAGCGATTTGACAGTTTGTTTAGATGGACGAGTCCGTCTATGTTCGGAAAAGAGGAGGGGGGAGACGAAAAAATTAATGTATGCTGTCTGAAAGCCACCGTAAGCGTGAACAATCAATTAAGACCCGAAATGGTTTAAACCATTTCGGGTCTTTTCCGAACATAGATGGACTCGTCCATCTAAACAAACTGTCAAATCGCTATCCGTGGTGCTAACGTTTTAAAAATAAATAAATAAACACAAACCGTCACTTCTTTCAAATGTTCTTGCCGTTGGTTTTCACACCTGATGATGACTGCTTGTGTTGCAGTCGAAACGTCGTGAGAATTTTATTTTTTATATATTTTATTATTTTATTGTTTCCCTTCAACGTGACTTTACCGAAAGAACCAAGCATATATATCACAGCAGCTACTTCATTGAGCCTGAGTCGACCTATGGGACGCCCAGGAACGGTTTAGATAGTCGTCACTGGTGTTGGTCGTGAGCGGGAATCGAACTCCGGCCGCCGGGTTCATAGCGCAGTGCGATAACCGCTACACTACCGCTCCCATCAGAACGAAACCGCCACGAACACCACCGCCTGCTATTGAGGGCCACGCAGTGATTCACGAACTCGTTGCGCGCTCTTGTTGACTGTGCTTTTGCACCAATGCCATCTCAGCAGCAGAATCACCAAATCGAGTGTTCGTCTTAACCACACAAGGTGGCGATGCAGGTTCTCACACGCCCTCCTACGGAGGCGCATATGCAACGAAGAAGGGCCACTGTCCGAAACGTCGCCTATGATATATTCATTTTATTTGAAAGCCACAGTGTTGTTATTGACGAACGCGTTGAGTGTCGTTGGTAACTGTGCGTGTGCACCACGCAGCAGCAGCGCCAAATAATCTGCTTTAGAGGTGTCTGTCGCATGCCAATCAAATTTAAAATAGTTTTCATTCGCAGAGCCGAACCAGGCGAACTAATGAAGGAGAAAAAATAATTGAAGTGAAATTTTTTGCAGTCATTTCTGATGAACAGACTGCGACCATCATGAGTGACGGGCGGCTTAAACATTAATTCGAACCCAGGCTTTAGCAATACCGACTGAGCGCTCTAATCCATCCCACAACCTCTACACAACGTGGGTGTATAGCGATATGTATATATATATTTACGGGAGCCGAAGAGAGATGATGTTTGGGATGTACAGTGAGGGAAAAAAGTATTTGATCCCCTGCTGATTTTGTACGTTTGCCCACTGACAAAGAAATAATCAGTCTATAATTTTAATGGTAGGTTTATTTGAACATTGAGAGACAGAATAACAACAAAAAAATCCAGAAAAAAGCATGTCAAAAATATTAGAAATTGATTTGCATTCTAATGAGGGAAATAAGTATTTGACCGCTCTGCAAAACATGACTTAGTACTTGGTGGCAAAACCCTTGTTGGCAATCACAGAGGTCAGACGTTTCTTGTAGT